CCATTTGAAAATGTTCAAATTTATGCTCAGGCAAGCTCAAAGAACACTACTGATATTAATAGATTAATGAAACCCTAACTGGAAATATAGTTCAACACCGACTATATACAGTCAAATATAAACATTTGTGTGCCCTTGTCAAATTCCATGTTCTGTTGGTTTTCTAAGTGATAATAAGTTAACACACCCTCTACAACTTCTTCTGCACATTTTAATGCACAATTACCATTTATTTGCTGAATTTGACATATTGGGAATAGAATAAAACATAAAATGTGGCCCCTGCAAACACGTTTTATATTTTATTTCTTTCCAATATGGTAAACTCAGTAAGTCAACAGAAACTGTGCATTAACATTTGCAGCAAAATTCATAGTTAAGCTTGTTCCCTGTAGATGATGTGTTCACTTATTTTCACTTCAAATCAACAAAGATGTGTCAGAGGGGTGTTCAAACGTTTGCATATGACTTCACATCTATACAAAACAATTCATTTATTAAATAATTAAGAAGGAATTAAGTAAAACATTACCTTTTGTGAAGTTGCTTTGGAGGGACTTCAGGGTTATTTTCAGTGATCTCCTCCACAGAATAAAGCTCTGATTGAATTTTCAGCTTGAGGCAGTCCTGCTGGTGTCTGACGGACAAAACTGAGAGGGTGGAGGGAATTTTCCACAATCTGGCAACAAACGCAATCTGAGAGAAACAGAGAGATCAGAATGCCATCTGTAAGAGAAACTCACTCAATCTGTGCACGCTTTAATCTTTTCCTCTGCCAAAATAAGCTGTAATACCCTCGGAAAAGACTCCCTAAGTATTTTGTTGCAGACGTTTTCCTGGTAGTCGACTGATGCTTTTCAGAAATGAGAATACTGTACCTGATGCTGAGCTGCTGACGGAGATGAAAGATTTAGAGGTTGTGGCACTCAAACTAAGACGAATACTCTATTAGAATAAACCCTACATACAAACACAAAAAAGAAAGCTACTCTACACTGCGCTACAGGTCAGAAGGTCATGGTTATGATGGGCTCTCCTTTGATTTGGACTCATCTTCAGTCTCCTTGTAAAAGGCTTGGGTCAGGATGTAGATCCAGTATATAACAGTAATGCAGGTGTTGATGGTCAGGATAGCGATCATAAAGGGGTGCAGCATGGTTAATTCGGTTTGAGTTCTGTCTATGGCTTTAGTTTCTGTGGTCCAGTATCTCTGGAGCTCCTTATACTAATTTGCTGACCCTCCCTCTGCGGTTCTAGCGCTTATGATTCTCCAAGCTTCAGCCCAGAACATGCTGAGCACCAAGTAAAGACCTTCAGCCAATCCTTACAGAGAAAACACAAGCAGCACCATGCAGTGTTTTAGCTGTTAAACCTGGTATAACTTTGTATAGGCATCTTGGATGTTAAAGGGGAACTCCACCAATTTTTCAAAATCTCAGCATAACTGTTCTGCTGAAATGTAAGTCACTTAGAGTGGTTTGATGAGAAATGCTCTGTTCTAGAGACACTTACCAACTGATTTCTTTATAGAGGGGGTGATAAGAACTAGGGGTCACAAAGTCTGCACAAAGACGTCTATTTTATTTACTATCAAAACCACCAGTGAACCTACATGTGTCTTCTGAGTTTATATATGTGATGTTGATGATGGTAAAATAGTAGTAAATTCAAAAAAAAATAAAAAATTCTTTGGGGACTATTGCCACCATTCTGCCTGATTTCTGGTATAAAAAAGCTGACATTACCCTAAACTGTTGATATTTTATATTCAGTGCAGGCCCATGTTGAAAAAAAATATTCCAAATGTATTTATCAAATGTATTTTTGTGATGTATGAAAATGGGCAAAAAATTACGGTAACACTTTCTATGAATGTCGCCTTTGTAAGCATCTATAAACGCATTCATAACATGTTATAATGCATGCATAAGACATTATAAACATAGCTATAAATATTTATAAAAATGCATTATACATTATAGCCATGTTTATTATGCATTATGAATTGTTAACATAATACATTAAGTACTGATCATAACAAGTTATAAGGGCTCATAAGTTGTATTTGTCCGCTCTAAGTAAAGTGAAGCGTACTGTACTAAAGCCTCCTCCAGTGTTCAGAGTGAGGCTTCAAGTTGAAGTATTTACTGAAGGATTTACTGAAACACTAAAACATTCACAGTAAAGCACATTACAGGCTTCAAATGTCAGAGTTTAAACTAGAGCTGCCATCAGTGTTTTACCCAGTGTGGGAAAGGTAATGTACACCACCGTTAGCTTGGTATTTGTCTTTACTTTATGCTCTCCAAGCTGGGACTGACTTCTTTGGCACTGACATTATAACATGTTATTAACACTATTTATAATGCATTATATTAACAATTCATAATGTATAATAAACATGGCTATAAAGTGTAATCCAGTGTAATTCTTTTTTATAAATATTTATAACCATGTTTATAATGCCTTATGAACACATTATAACATGTTATAAATGTGTTTATAGATGCTTACAAAGGTGACATTCATAGAAAGTGTTACCAAAATTATTTGTGTATTGGTTACGTATTTGCGATTTTTTGTATTTGTTATCATACATCTCCAAAATGGTAACTTTACAGGAGAAGGAAAAAACCTACTTTACTTTTAATGTTAGTCAATGGAACCAGACTTTTTTCCAAGTGATTTTGGGTCGTTTCATTTGGTCCATTCATCATGAAATTTACACACAATGTAAAGAACAACGTTCATTTTCAAATGATGTCAAAAACTGAAAAACAACAAAAATGGAGATTTGAGGTTTTCTCCTGACAACAGCGCCATATATATATATATATATAGACTGAATTAATGGTACTGAATTCTGTATTTTGCACTGTGCTTTTGCATTAATCATGTATGTATGCAGTACAATGCAAATTGTGAGTCAAATCATAACTGCATTTTCACAGAGTATCAATACCTACAACTTCTGCCACATTGAAGGTTCATTTGCTAATATTTAAATAGATACGGGAATACAAATTCATTTCAAAAGGTATCCAAACATTAAAGAGCAATAGACAGTATTTTGGCTATTTTCATACAAAATTTGATAAGTATAATTACATACATTTACTTTTCTATGTGTAATGTTTCCCTATACATTTTAAAATGAACATATTTTAAAATGTATTTGGTCAATATGGCAATATATTCTGAAATACATTTTAGTGTTTGGACTGTATTGCAGCATGGACTGCAATGTATTTGAAAAGGGGTAGACACCCAACACTGTTATGTTTAAAATTACCCAAAAATTACTTTTTCTTTGTTTAGCAAAAAATGTTGTTTTCCAATAGAAATCCATGCTTTCTTCTGATAAACTGGTGGGTTTTGAGGTGGGAAAGAATGAGAACCCCTGGTCTAATAACCATTTTATGAACTACCTTCCTGTGAGGTAGATTTTAGAGGCATTCATTACTTGAGACGTCTGGTTCCTATCACCACCACTGTGAACAATTCTGACTTGGGATGTTTCTCTAGAACAGAGCAAAGTTATATCAGCTTATTAATATGAATGACTTTGTTTGCATATCAACTATTTAAGCATGCAGAATGTTGGAAAGGAATTCCCCTTTAAATCTGGTGTGAATAAGTGTGTTGGTATAGGTGTCTTAGTTGAGGTTTAGATTGAGATTAGATTTAGTCTCTTAAATTCTCAAGCTTATTAGATCCTAAGGTTTATTATTCAGTAACTACATGAAAAACAATGCAAACTGACCGACAGTCTGTTATGTTATAGGACTATTCTGTTGGCAGCTCCTGAATACCTAAAGCGTTTACCAGTTACTCAGTGCTGAGAGAAAGCAATACTATTTTCGGCCTGTTCCTTTCTGTGCCAACAGACTAAGGGTTAATTTCAGATTGGATTGCTTGGGTTTGGCACCATACTGTGGTAGAGGTAGGGGACACTCTTAATGGATGAGGCAGACCGCTGGGCAGGATTAGCTGGCGATATTATGAAGCATTATCCTCCAGCTCACGAAAAACCCTGATCGAGACCTTAAGCACCTTTGGGTCGTGTGAGGCTAAGACTCCATCCCGTTTTAAATTTCAAAGAAGACAAAACGCCCACCTGCTTCAGTGAGTCAGCACAATATACAACACATAAAACCTTTACCACCCAGCAGCCAGCTCAATTTGGGGGCTTAAAGAAAGGGCTGGGCACAGCAGAAATCTGTTTTCAGTTTATTGCGATTAGTGGTAATCACTGGGTTACGATGAAGATTAAAAAGATCCTCATGCCTCATAAATAAATATCACTGCAAGATTAAGGAAAATTACTGGAGACACTGAAGGGCCCATATCCCGCATTTTCTTGTATTTTATTTTTTCTCCACTTGTGGTGTTTGTGCAGGTTTGTATACAAAAACAGTCCATTTGCATTTGCACTTGACAATTTCCAGCCTCTCTTTATTCCTTAAACAGGCTTTTTTTTGTTACTGTGCCTTTAAGATCGATATATGTAAATTAAGCTCTGTTCTGAGTGGCCACCCAGTATTGTGCCTCATTCAAAAAGCAGCCCAAGCTAATCTGCTGTAGGCTGAATAGGCAGGTATATACAAGTGATTTGGTTTTTGTGACATCATAAAAACATTGGGCCTCATTCACCAACTGTTCTTAAGATGAAATTTCTTCTTAAAACCCACTTACGCAGTTTTTACGAAGATTCTGACATTCACCAATGTTTTCTTATTTGGGATTTGTTCGTAGGTAAGAACATAATCTACACACACTTGAGCAGGAAGGTGTGAACAATTCTGCAGTTTAAGACCACGTCATGAACCTGACGTAGACTTTCTTAGGATCTTTTTTCAAGAACAAATTTAAGAAAAAACTTATCGGTGAACGACATTGGTGAATGAGGCCTAATGAGTTTTTCCCCCATGATATGAGCCCTTTAAAGCCAGGTGGAAAACAGTAAATCAGCCTGAAATAAGAGTCTCAGGAGATGGACATAGATTTAAAACATTTATTTACTGTGAATTTCCTCTGAAGAAGCTGACTGATGGTGAGCAACAGTTTATACGAAACCAGGTGCCGAGCCTGAGGCCAGAATGGTCCATGCTGGACCTTTGAAAATCAACAGCGTGTTAATGTGCTGAAGTTTCCCGAGAAAGCAGAACCCACTGTCACTGAGCAGCAGTGTGCACTCGGAGCAGTCCGTCTGCGTACTGAAACTGCGAGCTGTTCTCGTACTCCAGCATATCCAGAGCCACTTCGCAGCTTTCCTTCACCACCCGCTCTCTGTCCTGTCGGTACTGCTGCAGTATGGGCACACACGCATCTCTGCCGATGGAGCCTAGCGCCTCCGCGCACTCGTGCCGCACCATAGCGTTCTCGTCCTCCTTCTCTAAAGCGGCCCGCAGGTGAGGGATGCTGGCCTCGTGCTGCATCTGGCCCAGCACGTAGCCGATCTCATGTCGGAACAAGGCACTGCTGCACTGGAGGCCTGAGGAAGAGAGAGGAAGATCACAGGTTAAATATAGTCTGTTATACCACAGGTAGTTCCCACCTTGCAGCGTGATTGGCTGAGAGGCATTCTTTGAGTGCCAGTATCTCCTGATAACAACTTTATTACAAGTAACAAGTTTGCCATAAAAACAACAGCTAGCGACCAAGTGAGCGACAACACAACTCAAAAGCTCCTATTGTATGAACGAAGCTGTTTACACCAGGCGCGAGAGGCAGAACTCAGGTTTTCATAGATGCCATTTCTACTTTTGTCACGTCGTGATGCTCTGATGTCCCACCTTAAATACTGCAGTCAAGCCCAAAAAACATTAGGAAAGTGTCCACAATGAAGAACTGAGCTGTAGATCAGTCTAAAATGACTGAGAATGCTGTAGAACACTGAGAATGAAGTTGAAAAGTAATCAAATCCTGAGGCAGATAACTTGATAAAACATTACTGTAAACATATTACTCTCTTCATAATCATTTTTAACCTCTTGCTGTTCTCAACATATTTGAACTAAATCAATAAAACATTAAAAAGTTTCATTTTAAGGTTCCAGATTAACACCGTAATAAATAATAATAAATAAATAAAATTTGCCTCAAAAGAGTTATTTTAACTAATCTCAAACAGACTTGCTTCTGTGGCTTCTGAGACTGTACAATATACTGTCTCTGTAAAAATGATAGAGATAAAAACTGAAGCAACAGTCTGATTTTTTTCTGTACTTCTGTCCATTTCTGTATACAGCGTGTCCCAAAAAAATTGACATCACTTCGTAGTCTAATAACATTGCCAGTTCTCCCTCAAATGATCTCAAATTTTAACAAAATGTGTAAAAACTAACCAAGTTTAATTTTTAATTTTTTTTTTTTTTCAGGGTGAAGAACGTCGTTCATTAGAAATGAAAAGGCATTTTGTGTGTTAGAATATGCTCAAACCCAGTCAAACAAGAGTGTGCAGTGGCATTTTTCGAGAAAATTCCATGAAAATGCACCAACTGGAAAGCAGATTTGGACATGGCACAAAAGATTCAAAGAGGAAGGCTGTCTGTGCAGCACAAAGGGATCTGGACGACCACCAGTATCGGAAGATACATTTGTGAAGCTGTGAAATCGGTTATAAAATCTACATCCCTCTGAATTTCTGTTCGAATTTTGATAAATAAATCTTGTATTGTTCAACATGAAGCCTATTTAAATTTCGTTTGCCAGGACATGTAGTTACTCAGATATTCACATCTCAAATTATGTCAATTTTTTGGGACACCCTTTAATATCTGGTGTCAGATTGTGTACGTGAGATTTTTCAGCAAAAGGAGAATTCCACCGATTCTTTTTATTTTAAATTCAGCATAATTCAAGCTCTGAGATGTAAACAAAGTCATTCGGAGTTGTTGGATGTGAAATGTTTCACTGTAGAGAAACTTACAGATTCAGATTACTTTACAGTGGTGGTGATAGGAACCAGGGTCACAATGTCTACAACACAAATATAGCCATTTTATTTACAATCCAAAACCACCAGTGAACCTCCAAGCATTTCATATCAAACCACTCTGAATGACTCTGAATATACCTTAAAAATTAAGTAGAAATTTAGAAAAATATGCAGAATTCCCCTTCAAAACATCATTTTTAAACAAAAAACCTCTCACCATCTCCTAGAGCCAGCACAGCCTCCTCTGTGCCGAGGTTTCTGAGGGCGAACATGGCTCGGTAGCGTTCAAACAGTGGCAGCTGTTCATCCAGCAGCTCTTTCCTCAGCTCAGGAACACTCTTCCTCTGGGCTGGGGGTGCGGGGTCCACGGAGCTGTAGGGGTTACTGTCCAAGCCCTCCACTGAGCTTTTATCTCCACCCTTCATCAACCACTCCAACCTCCTCACAGCCAGCTGACACGTCTCTGCCACCTGCACATAAACACACACAAACATAAACGCAAAGAAAGACAGAAAGTGTGGCTGACACAAAGAAAAGTGTTTTCCCCTCTGCGACACTATTACAGGGGCCAGACGTGATTTCCTAACCCAGCGGTTCTCCAACTGTGGCCATGACCCCCTGGGGACCACAAAGGGGGGGCCTTAGGCTAAAAAAGTTTGAGAACTGCTGTCCTAACACAAATACACGTCTGGAGGCAACTGTGAGGGAAGTCGGCTTAAATGTGGGTGGGAGTGGAATATACACCCGGAGTACATGGAAAGAAATGGCTGCTGTGTTCACAGATACTGTTTCACTAGACATTAAGATGTTCTGCTTGTGCATCAATTATACTCTGGATGTTAGAAGTGCATGGACTGTTGGATCTGGTGGCAGGTTTTAGAGGGAAAGCCTGAGGATGGAACCTTGTCAGTGGCAGATTTCTCCACCATCCAGTATCAAATTGCATCCAGACTCACTATGGCTACGTTCACATTCCCAAGTTGAAGTGGCACAAATCTGATTTTTTTCCCTAATGTGACTCAGATCTGATGTTTTCAGAGCTGTGTGGACATGCAAATCTGATCTTATCAAATCCAACCTCAGCCACTTTCATATGTGGTCCTAGATCAGATACGTATTTCGTTTTGTGGCCATGCGACTTTAATGTGGCACTCAGGTCGGAATTCATGTGCTTTTTTTCCACTGCGCGTGCGCCATCATTCAGCGTTACCATGGCAGCAGTTGTGAACAGACATTAAAGCCTGTTAAAGGTGGAAAATCAACACTTCTTACTCTTTTCGCCTTCGTCTCGCTCTAACAATGAAGCTGAGAGCTGATCAGAGTTAATTATCTTCACAGCGAAGCTCGTTCAGCTCGTTAGTTTGTGCTGATGATGGACGATGATGAATGACTCATTCACGTGATGTTACTGAGTAGGATGTGCGTATGTGGGTCATTTCAGGACGCCGGTTCGTTCACATTAGTGACAGATCTGAATCACTTACCTAAACGAGTGTGAACCATTGTGTCAGACAGATTGGATATGAGCAAAAAATGGGATTTGAGCAACAAGACATGTAATGTGAACGTAGCGTATGTTAAAATAGAGCTAGTGATTAAGTTAGAGTCTTATTATACCATGGTTGTCTCTCAACATGATTTCTTTAGTGAAGAAGTGGAACAAGATCATACCTCAATGACTGGATCCTCTGAATACTGCTTCAGCAAATCTAAGACTTTCGGATTTCCGATGGCTCCCAAAGCTTCACCTATATGCATGGATAAAATCATTAATATTACATATAATTCCACTTTTACATTATTATATATTTTATACACTATAGTTAACCCTGACTGTAAGGTTATGGTGTATTTTTTAGACATACTTGGACAACAGACTCTCAGACATCAAACAGATTTGGAAAAACAATATGTCATCTCACTAAACGGCCACAGACAAAATGGCCTTGGACGATAAAGTGATGATAAAATTGTGGTAAATCTGAAAAACTCTTTGGATTTCTTTTTGGTTTTCTTTGACTGGACTGCATGTACCTCACTGCCATGAATGACTTTCAAAAATTACATTTTGAGCCAAACACTTCTCAAAAGCATCCTAAAATAATGTCTTACACATCAGTCAGCATATTCATAACCATTTTGTGTAATAACTTTCTGTGATGGAGCTGTTAGATGTGGACGTCTGGTTCCTATCACCACCAGTGTGAACAATTCTGACTCTGTACATTTCTCTAGAACAGAGTATTTCACACCAAACCACTCTGAATGACTTTGTTGACATCTTAACAATTGAATTATGCAGAGATTTTGAAAAATCATTCTCTTTTAACTGGAGGTAAGTGCTTCTTCTTAGATCATTATTATTTGTTTTTAAGAGGGGAATGACTACAGAATCATTTTGTATTTTTTCTGCAACCGAATCGGTTTTATATTACTAAAAAATAAAGAAAGAAATTGATTTCAAAGCTTGGAATGACCGTGATCGTTGGAATGATGGTGAATGTTTCAGCTAGTAGACGAGTAGTTCACTAATTCATTCAATAATTAGGAAAATTCAGTGATGGCGATGCAAAAAAAACTCACAGGAATATTTTTTAATGGTCATAAACCAACATTCTGTTAAAGATAGTGTCAAATCTGGCCAATATCTAATCCATTTAATCAAGTCAGTATTACTGCCAATACTGATCCAGCATATTGTATTGGTTCATCATTACTAGTAAACTGATGCAGACTTTTCAGTGTACAACACAAAGAAGTGAGAGTGCTGCATTTCACCTGCTTCATGCCTGACCATCGGCTCTTGCCTGGTATCTTTCAGCACCGTCTCCAGAATGGGAATTGCTCGCTCGTCCTGCATCTGACCAAGGCAGTAGGCCAGCTCATGCTTCAGAAGTGCAGAATCATCCACGAAGGCCTCGCTGATCCATTTAATAGCCTCAGGTCCTCCAAGATTACGCAACGTAAAAAGTGCTCTAAATCGCGTCGTCAAGTCCTGCTTGGGGTTGACCAGTATGGTCCCCACTGCCGCAACGTGCTGCTCACTCGCCATGAGTATCGTAAGACTATTGTAGGTTGAGGAATATGCAGATGATCACGGTGATCCGTTACAATAGAGGAACCACTGCTGCAGATGATCTAAAAGACATTAAAAATACAAAAGTAAGCATCAGAAGAAACAAAAAAGTGCTTAATGAAGGAATAAATGACAAACAATCATGAATATATCAATGTGAGCCAGTTTACAATGACTACAGTTTAAGTGGCAATGGAAGCAGTCTATTAGATAAATTAAGTGTAGTACTGTAGTACTAATACAATAATGTTAATACTCCCACTATGTACGAAGTCATGCAAAAGCAGATTATTTCACTTTCCCCCTTTAACAGGTTTGTCGTTTACATACAGCAGCACTGAAAAGAAATTAATTAACAGGCTTAATTAAACTGAATTATTGCTATAAACCTCCCAGAAATCAAAATTATGGTTTAGGTATAAATAAGTGAGAATCAGGCAGAAATTTTGTGGCATTATTCAGGTTTGCTTACAGGCAAGACTTTACTCTTTTTTAAAAATCAGATAAAAGCTGATACAACCCTTTTACACATTAACAGGATCTCCACTTTAACTTGTGACATCCTGTATATTATCATGTATGTAAACACAGTCCTTCACACCATTCCACCCATCATCTTGTGGCTTGGGTTCTATTTAGTTCATAATAACAGTATGTAGTGTGTTCAGGAAATGGTTTTACATGTTTTCAGTTGTGCTCTTCTGCTTGTATTTACTGGGCTTACTCTGTTGTGGACTCATTATTTATGACTTATTCTGAAGGGTGGGTTTATGAACTGCAAGGGCTGCGTGTTGTTGTAGCAGAGCTAGAGAAAGAGAGGGAACCAGCTAACAGTAGAGACTGTGAGCTATCTTGAGAACTACATTTTCCCCTTTCTGTATGCAGGTGGTCTCTAACCATGGTACTGGAGAGCTACCTTCCTGCAGTGTCCAGTTCCAACCACAATCTGCCACACCTGCTCTAGCTAATTAACAAGACCAGGGCTGGAAACCACTGCTGTACACCGTTTTCTTAGTTAGGTTGAGCACAGCCGAGTTATGGAGCAGAGCTTTAAATCATCCAAGTTTCTTCTGAGAACCCCCTACGTTACAATGGTGTCAGAAGTGGGATAACACAGTTCTCAGGCCAGCTCACGACCTCTCCTGTTAGCTGGCTCGCTCTCTGTCTCTCTCTGGCTATTCTACAACAGCAGTTCCTAGCCCACCCTTCAGAATAAGAGTCTACAGCAGAATAAACCCAGTGAATAAATGCAGAAGACTTAAAAAAAAAAAAACATAACTTAAAACTAACATGTAAAAACTACTGTCTTTTTGAACTAAATAGAACCCAGGCTGCTCTGACAGCCTTGCCTTTCTGTAAATCTCGTTAGTGTCAGGTTAACATTTAAAAAGAATTACAGTAACACAACAGGAATTACTACAGGAGTATCTTATAGCAAATGTGTACACTTACTTAAGTTTAATACAGCTACACAATACAACACCACAGAATTATTACAGATCACTACAGTACAGTGCTACGGGAATATTATACAGAGTTGAAAACATTATAGATTATTATATAAGTATTTTACAACACTGTATTAATGGTACAGCATTACTAACCTACAGATGTTCTTCGGAATAATCATCACTTAGAGGGCTTAGAAGCTGCACCTACTCTAGTCCTGGACTTCAGCTTAAGTGTTATTGTTTTTAAACTATGTGACACATATAATGTTCCCCTTTTTAATATATCTATAAAAACATCTATAGAGGGTTAATAAAACACTTACTAGCAGCTCTCAGTCGCTCACGCCGCTCACAGCTCAGCTCTCCATGCTGTCACTGCAGGAAGGAGTTCTATTATAGAGGGTTTTCGACGATGCGCCGTGTTTTAGCGCCTCTACAGGACTGGAGGAGTCTGTTCATCACACTCGGATTCAGAATCGCTTCATTTCGCCATGTTGCACATACAAGGAATCTGTCTGGGTCAGTCACACTAACCAGACCAGACTAACACAGACTATTAACAAGTATTTAACTAAGGCACAAATAAAATAAACGTGCAGTAAATAAAATAAAGTGTAAAAAATAAAGAGTAATAAAGAGCCAATGTGAAAAAAGAGATGTGTGAATATCTGAACATCTGCAGGTATCAATATCTATTACATATGAAGGTCTAAAAAGACTTTTACTGCCAGCTGAAAAAAAAAGCACAGACCAGCGAGCATTTCAAGCTGTTCGATGCTGGTCAATGCTGGTTTATGCTGGTCTAGTGCTGGTCTGGCTCACCCCATCATAGTCATATTAGCTGACCAGCATACCAGCATCCAGAACAAAACTTATGCTGCTATGCTGGTTTTGCTGGTGACCAGCCATGCTAGACTATGCTGGCTTTTCTTTCAGGGCTAGGCCTGTAATGAATAAATGACTGAATGAATGAATAAATAAATATAGTAATGATTATACACAGAATATTACAAACTGGTATGAACCAGAAAAAAAATAAAAAAATAAATCTGTACAATTGTGCAAATAAACATTATGTTACATAGGTGTTATCATGTAATACAATAAGGGAGGTTTGTTAGGTTCGGTTTAAATTTAAATGTAAACAGAGCCCTTTCAGTTTAAATTTAAGCTTAAACTGGGGAAAAGCTCTAAGCATGTCTGGCTGTGCTGGTTTTAATGGTCCTGAATGTTCTACCGGAGGGCAGTGGCCGGAGGAAGTGATGTCCATTCCACTTGTAATATGAGATTTTTTTCTGCCAGACCATAAACAATGTTTTTACAGTCTTTAAAAGTGCTTATAGGACCTTCATAATGACTCTGTGAACAATAAGAGATTTAAGCAGCAGTGAATCTTAATATGAGGCATGTTTGAATGTTACTCAGCCACCAGGGGGCGCCATAAAAGCGAAAAGATTTTCTTTTTTTTCCCTGATCAAAATTAATTAATTAAATCTTTTTCTGTTCTTGCGTACGACGAATATGATCAGGGTGGTGTTTTTTTCCACTTACATACTAAACAACAAACTCTAGGTCCTTTTTTCAGTCCATGCGCAGTGCAAAAATAACATATTGCTAATTTGGTTGGGTGTGAGGCACAAACTGTTAGCTTTTAATAAAAAAACGGAATTTACATGTAAAAACTGAATGAAAAATTAAAGTTTTACTAGGAGTTATTAAGTACAATAAGATATAACATTACTCTAATATATGATATATATATATATATATATATATTTTTCCTATGTACATTTTTGTTATCACTGAAAGAGTTTTAAAACAACGTTTTATTAGTGTTAAATGTGGCAAATTAAATTTTTAGAAGCGAAAATAACATTTTGACATGTTAACCTTAATTAGTACATGTTCGAATAGATTTCTGAGGTTTTATATGACAAGCCTTTTTATGTTTTTATTTCTAATTTTCTTGATATCAGGAATTATACTTAAAATTGTACAGTTTCCACTAATGAAAATTTCTTCTAGTAAAATTTTAATTATGACAATATTGGGACTATTTTTTATGTAAGAACTGTGCTGAGGTGGGTGAATTGGCGGAAAAGTGGTGTTTTCAAAGTCTGTTTAAAATTGTGGTCCTACAGGCCCCGTTCAGAAGAGTGAGGCAGGGAAAGCTGACAGATCTGTTGGAGCATCCGGCGGAGTTTGGGTGTAGTTTGCTGGATGGACAGCAGGTGGCGGTAAAGCTCCTCGCTGCACTTAACTAGAAGAAGCGCTCAAACGTGAAAGCAAAGGCCGCTCAGGTTTCAGCAGAAAACAGAAACGCTGCTTGTTGCGAGTCAGTCGGTTAATTTTACTCAGTGATGGGCGATATATCGTCTGGATCAGTGTACCGCGATATTGTTTTTCCTTTTTCTTAGTACATTTGGTGGATAACAGGCATTACATACATGATAAAGTGCCTTGTTGCTGAGTGGTTTTAGTTCTTTTACTTAGAATTTGTGCACTTTATGTATGATATCCTATGGAAGTCCAGAGAGGCCATGAGATAGTTATTACTTTCTGGATCTTGAGATCACAATTTAATTGTCTTGTTATCTCAAAATAATGAAAGTTGTTTTCTCTAGATCAAAACTTATTTGTCCTGTGATTTCAAATCAAGTCATGATCTTGAGATAACAGTCCAGACAATTTTAACTCCTCATGGCCTCTCTGGTCTTCTGGAAAATCCAGGACCCAACAGTTAACTACAATGTGAAAGAACAGTTCAAAATCCATGAAAAAGTATTAAAAGCCACTTAATTATAACACCATTATTATTATTATCATTATTTTTATTATTATTATTATTATTATCAAACGATACTATAATTCAGTGATATATTTGAAAAAATATCTTGATCAGTATCAGCCAGAACTACTTTTATCACTTAAAGGAATAGTTTGGCAAAAAATCTAATTTACACTTACACTGTTTTTTACTTAAGCCAGGTTTATTTGATCAGCCGACACACGTTCAGAGTCCACATTTTGCCTCTCTAGTTCAGACCTGAAGTAGTAACGGCTAACATTGCTAACAGACATTAGAACTCAATAGTCACCCAAATAGCCTAAATGGTTTTTGTAATACACCTCTCAAACCGCAGGTCTCCATTAATGTCACAGTGTGGTTTAGGGTACAGTATGACTTACAGTGAACTGTAATGAATAAAACTGTGAGCAGACACTTTAGACAACACGGTCTGTATTCACAAACCACCTCAGGAGCAGGAGTGCTGACCTAGAATCAGCTAGAATCTGCTTTGTGAATACCAGCACTGGTGTTATCTGAAATAGCAATGAAGTTCTGTTCATTCTTATAGTTCAACAATACGTCTTCCTGAGAGAAGTTTTAAGGATGTATTTTTAAGGAAATGATTTGGGCTATTTGGGTGACTATTGAGTTCTAGTGTTTGTTAGCAGTGTTAGCCTCTCACCTCCAGTTCTCTTTGCTCTCCAGACATGTCTTGGTTTATCAGCTACATCTGGGCTAGTGGGCAATTGGGTAAAATTGATTTTTTTGCCAGCCTATTCCTTTAAAAAGATGTGAAATCTATAAGATTATAGATTTTTTCCACCACCTATAGGAGCAGTGGAATACATCTATTTTCTATGAAAGCAGCGATACAGGGAGCATGTATATTGCAGCTGGAGCTCCTTCATGGACCTCACAGAGAAAGAAAGCAAGCAAAAACTGCACATCTCCAGGGAGGTGGTTTTTAAGGGAAAGCCGGCTAGTCGCAAGCGTTGAGACCAGTCCCAGAGGCCTCTGTGCTCTCCCTGTAGCCATGAAAGTCACAGCGGCCCTTGCCTTCTTTGCCATGGGCACCGTCCAGAACACTTTGGGCATGGTGACCGGTTTAAGCCAGTCAGTGGTCAATTCTGCTATACATGTAGTTGCTTCCAGTCTAGTCCAGCAAGCCAGTAGCTATATAGTCTTTCCTAGATCACACGAGCGCCAGCTCAGAACTAAGCACAACTTCATGCCTAAATATGGACTGCCTGGGGTTTTGGGGGCAATAGACTGCACACATGTGCACTTGTGTGCTGCCTTAAGTGAACCGCTCATTTATGTGAACAGAAAGGGAGTCCACCCCATTAAAATCCAGATGATATGTGATGCAAATTGCTTAGTGACACATGTTTATGCTAATTCTCCAGGGTCTTCACAGGACGCCTTTGTCTTGGACAATTCTGCCATTTCTGCAGTCTTCCTGGAGGATGACCTGGATGGGTGGCTGATAGGTGACAATGGCTATCCATTAAAGACATGGCTACTTACGATGTACGGCAGGCCAGCAACGAGAAGGCAGCACGCTTTCAACCGTGTTTTGACCAAGGCCTGGTCAGTGATCGAGTGAACGCTTGAAATGCTAAAATCCCGCTTCACATGTTTGGACCGTGGGATATTACAGTACAGCCACAGATGGTCATTGCATGCTTTGTGGCATGCTGTGGCATGCTGTGTACGCCACAGGTGCAGCGTTGACCTCACCGAGGAGGCGCTACAGGACTTAAGATGGTGAGAAGAGGAGCTACATGTGCCTTTTGAGGAGGATGAAGAGAACCAAGATGCACAAGAGACAGGGGACAGACTAGCAGCTCAGCTGAAGCTTTAGGGAGTATAAAAGCATCACAAATATTTCCCAGCGGCTGGCCTTATAGTAGCTTTGGTGTTTGAGGGCACAAGCCACCCTGCCATGCCAATGTCCCAGAAGGTGCCTTGGGCATTCACCATGGCTTGCAGGACCACCGAATGCCAGCTCTTTCTGTTCCTGCAGTCCTATGGTGCCTAAACATGGAGAAAGTCAATGACGGGGATGCGGTGAGGAAAACCCAACCGAGAATGAACGTGCCGAGAGCTTTCCTCCAGCTCGTGGCTGCCAGGCAAATGCAAGCAGCAGGGCTTGAGGAGTCATAGTGATGGCTTTGCACACCTCCTGACCACAATCAGTCCTGTTACTATCATAGATCAGAACGTCGAGCTGGTAGACACCTACAAATACCTGGGTGTCCTGCTTGACAACAAACTGGACTGGAGGGCCAACACAGAGGCTATGTATAGGATGAGCGGACTTTACTTTCTCAGAAGGCTCAGGTACTTTAATGTGTGTTGCAAGATGTTGGCGATCTTCTACCAGTCTGTTGTCTTCTCTGCAGCAGTTCTGGACAATACCTCACAGCTGGAAATTATATCTCTCTACTCATATTGCTATGAACTGCCACTTGGTTTACACATCCATATATGCTTGTGTCTTCTAACTGAGATTTGTCTTTCTGCTGGTAAAGGTAGGCTCTGAGTTGAGACTTTCTTTAGTTTAGACTATGTTTGTCACAAGGCTGTCTTGTGGAAATCGAGTGCTCAATTGTAATTACTAGTTTCAGGTGTGGTTTCAAGTTAGCCAAGGGTGTGAATTGCAGGGCTGTCAGGCTGTCAGTCACAAGACTGATAAATTGAGGAGGTATTCCCCTGAAGAGTCACTGTGCTTGTGTTTTCTAATGGATTTTTTATGCCTGTTTCTTATTTAAGCTGTTACTTTTATTTCTATAAAAGTCTTCTTGATTTGTTTTAGTTGATATATTTCATCTTATCTTTTTGTCAATCACTGTTCTGAGTCGAAATAAAGGTTGACTGATCGATTGATTGTTTGAAGGAGGCCAGATAACAGTTAACTGTACTACTAAGAGGCCAAACTTCACACCTGTAATTATTAGCCTCTATATTACTGCATTCCTTTATTGCTCTTGGTTGTTTGACATATTTGCGCAGTGCATGCTGGGTAGTGAAGTGAGAGAACATTGATGGAAAAAAACACAAAAAGGATGTGAAATTGTGAAGTCTGGTAAGACTTAGAGATGCAATGCTGCACTACAGAATAGTGCATAACACGGCAAATAGTTGCAATGCTAGTTTTAGGCTGGAATGCTCCTTTCACTGAGAGGCTCTGGACACTACAAGTGCAAAAGTAATTCGGAAAAACGACAAAAATCGTTCAGAGTGGTCTGATGTGAAACGCTCTGTTCTAGAAAAACTTGCAGAGTCAGAATTGTTCACAGTGGTGGTGATAGGAACCAGACGTCCACCTCTAAAAGCTCCATCACAGAACATTATTACTTTAAAAGGTTATGAATACACTGGGTGACGCGGAAGGTACATGCAAGGTGTTGTAAGGCAAATAGTAACCAACAAAATTTTTACCATCATAAACACTCCATATAAAAGCTCAGAAGACACGTGTAGGTTCACTGGTGGTTTTGGATAGTAAATAAAATATTTGTGTTGTAGTCATGGTGACCCCTGGTTCCTATCGCCACCACTGTAAAGAAACCTGAGTCTCTACAATCAGCCATTTCGCACCAAACCCCTCTGAATGACTTAGTATAATAAACAGTACAATGAATTATATTCTAACACTATATAAAAATGATTGATAATTATTCAAAAAGTTATAATAATCAAGTTCATAATGACAATAACAACTTTTGTTATTAGTAGCAGTGGCATTCATTCTAAGCATTCATTCCAATAGTAATAGTTATTGTTATTATTGCTGTTGTTATACAACGTTAATGACATTATGTAGCAACATTAATGCATCAAAATGTCTTCAGATAACTCACATACTAAAAAGTTTATGCATCCCTGGTCAAATTTATTTGATTTTATAAGTGTAAATAAGTTAATAAGTTATATATATAATATTGTTATATTATTGCTTTATTTTATAAACTTTATTACTTTATTATATAAAGCTCATGTCTAATTACCTGTGTGTGCTCTCACCCCACCTCTCTCTCTCTCTCTCTACTTTTAAAGTTTTTATAAGTTGATTTTCTTTTTTTTTGTCTTAGTTAAGCGCTTATGTGTGACTTTATGTTGGTTGTGTGTTGAGATTATTTTTCTGTTTTCATTTTTGTTTTAATCATGTTTCTTTTTTCCTGTTCCTGTAATTCTGGAAATTCACTGTGTGGTCTTCTTAGTTTTTTAGGCATATTGCATCACAGAAATTATGAATGGGTGTTTTTCATTCATAAAAAAATGTCTTACTTAACTAAATGTTTATTTCAGTCATGCTGTAGTGAGTTACCCAACACACCAGTGAGGTAACAAATATTTTTCACAATTTGTTGAACAGAATACCGTGATTCAAGCTCATTATTTGAGCCTTTGATTTTTTCTCTCTTGTCGCTCTTTCTTATTATCATCTTTTTTTTAGCAAAAATAAATAAATAAACAAACAAACAAATAAATAAATAAACACAGTGAATCTAATTCCAAATCCACAGCATCATAACTCAAACTGAAATGCTGCTATAGTAAACCTGCTGTTTTTAATTTTGTACTTAGGGGCTATTATATATTTATATGTTATAAAAATAACTTTTAAATATGTAGTTTTTATTTTCGTTGCTGATTCAGTTTTTTACATTCACACCAGCAGCAGAAGCTGCGCCGCTTTAACGGTCGTGTCTCCGTTGTTATGCCAACGCGACTTCTTTTGTTTGGATTCAAATGTCGTGACGTCACCGCGTTCAAATTCTCACCCACAGTCCTTTGCGACAATTGAAAACACAGCTATCTTCGGCGAAGCTAACAGCTACAGAAACAGCGGCCGCACACAAGATTACAGGGTTTTAAAGAGACGCGACGCGACGCCACCGAGCGGCTCTGCTCATTTGATTCGGGCTCATTTTCAGTGAGAATTCAGCGAATTGAGGTGAGCGGTGCGGTAAGTCCGGCGAACTGAATGAAACCAGCAGCTAACGCTAGCTAGCCGGAGCGTTAGCTACAGCAGGCTAACCAGCTAATAATAAATAAAAGAGTGTAAGAGAGAATTGTTAGTCTTTACAGCGCGGTATTCTGAGGAGCTTTCAGCAAATCCGTCTCTGAAAAAGTCGACCAGCCAACGTTATTGATCTGGTATCACTGAGGTGGCCAACAAAGCTGACTTTGCCGAAGGAATAGACTGATTTGAAATACCAGCTGTCGAGCTGTGAGCAGCCAGCTGTGTTAAAACGCTTGTTCGTTTAACAGCGCTAACCAGTTAACCTGGTTAACCTGCTGTCCTTTAAATTGTGAAGTTTTAATGTTACAGTAGCGCTGAATCATATTAGAAGTCCTGTATATTAAGGCCCGGATCTCTCAAAGGTACCGATCACATAAATGACTTGGTGATTGTTTTTTAATAAGGCGTGGCCACAAATTCATGAATTGAGACCACAAATTGCTATACTGAGGACACGAATTAATATATAGAGTTTACAAGTGACTATACTGGGGCCACGCATTGATATTTCGAGATCAAAAAGTAATATATTGAGATCATAAATTTCTGTGTTCAGGCCACAAGTCAATATATTGTGGCCACAAAATAATAAATTAAGATCACAAATTGCTATGCTGAGACCATGAGTTTATATATAAAGTACACAAATTACTATATTGACACCACAAATTACTATACTGAGGCCCAAATTGATATTTTGAGGTCAAGTCAAGATTTTGAGACCACAAATTAATATATTAAGGCCACAAATTAATATACCGAGGCCATGAGTTAAGAGAAACCAACTTTCTTTAATTCCCTTCTCTTTGTTATGCTCATGGTAGTCAGGATCAGTGTGTGTCATTTGCTGGGTGCCTTGGTTTGTTTTGAAAGAACAGTTTAAAATCATACAAATTAAATAATAACGTTTTATCCTGGATATGTGTTTTCTGCCTGGTTCATGTTTTCAGTGCTGTGTAAGGTTTATTTTGGTGTAACTGTAAAGGGGAATTCCACCAGGTTTTCTAAAATTCTGCATAAGTCAGACACTGAGACGTAAATAAAGTCATTCTGAGTAGTCTGCTGTGAAATGGTTCATTGTATAGAAAATTACCAATCTGGGTGTCTTTACAGTAATAGTGAAAGGAACCAGGGGTTGCAATATTTACGATGCAAATATAGCCGATTTATTTAGTGTCCAAAATAAGCAGTGAACCTGTACGTGTCTTCTGAGTTTTTATATGAAAGTAAATGATTAAATGCATCAGGCAGTGTATTCATAACTATTTCATGTAATACTTTTCTGTGATGGAGCTTTTAGAAGCATAAAACTCTTCAGACGTCTGGTTCCTATCACCACTGCAAGCAACTCTGTAAGTTTGTCATTTCGCGTCAGACCACGCTGAATGACTGTGTTTACATGTTGAATGATTAATTATGCAGAAATTGTGAAAATGTGTGGAATTCCCCTTTAAGAGAAGCAGAACAGAGCAAAACTAATCACAACAAGCTATGTCTGATTTGTAAGACATTATTGTAGAATTGAGTAGCAGCAGCCAGAAGGCATGGCTTCATTAACTTTGTTAATGCTGACTTAAGTATTAACTAATATTATGGCATCCTAATGTATTTGGAAAATATTATAAGATTTAGTATTAACAATACTGTTTAGCACTAGAAGTGCATACATTCACGGTCACACGCTGTTACAGCGGCTCCTGTAAAAGCCTTTCATTTCCACAGTTTTGTGAACTAGTTACGGTGGAAGATTTTCGACGTAGTGACAGACACTCTGCATCTAAATCTGTCTTTTTAAGTAGGCTGTTGGAGCATTTGCTCAACCACCTGTCCTTGGGGTGTTCGAGCAGGTGGTATATGTGAATAGCCCTTTGTCCAGGAGGTTATGACCCTTTACTTGGGTTTTCCTTTAACTGCAGCACATAAACCTGGAGTAATCTAAAAGAAACTACTTAAGCTAGTTCTGTTAAATGCATTTGGTCTTAGAGATACGATTCCTCCTCTGATGTTAGGCTGCGTTTACAAACCAGGAAAAAATGTCCCAAATCTAATTTTTTTTCTTCATATGTGACACTGCTTTGTTTTTGTGTGACAGTTTGAACAGCAGAAAATGGACTAAATTCTGGTTTGGGCCATTTTCACATTGTACTGATATTTGAGCCAATGTGTGGCAGTGCAACCTAAAAGTAAACAGATTGAAATTCATGTGACTTTTACATCAGTCCCACATATCATTCATCCGATGGTAACTTGCATGTCACTAGTTTGGTGCAGAGTTTGTTTCTCTTTGGTGGTATTGTCCTTTATGTCAGGTAAACAAAAGAACTCAAGCTTCCTTTCTTAATTCAGGCAGCTTCTATATTTACAAGCATAGAAATTCACTTTATTTTGCTCTTGTCTGTAAACTTTGTTCAACGCGGTAGTTTTGGTGTCTATAGTTTGTCTTCCGAATTAAGCTGGTGGTTCATTTAGCTGATTTTGACGTCACATCAACAGGGTGTGTTGATCATAAGGACATATGGAGGCCAGTTGAGAGGTTGGAAATGGGTAGAAAAATGAATTCTGACTGTTTTGGTTCGTAAACCCACAAAAATGTTAAAGGTGGAACTCTGGGGGGGAAAATAGTCTCTTTAATGGTCTTTTTCTGTTAGTCTACATCTAAACTGTAAAACTCAATCCATCCATTTTAAGGCAGTCATGCTTAGTACGCATCTCTTTTAATTAGCCTTTAATACAAATTTTTACCTCTTTTTGCATTTATCTTTTTATAATGTGATCTGTGTCACTGGGTGATATGATTTAAATTATTACTCTTATATCTTTGATTTAAAGATTGATTTAAGGTTTTTCCTTATATTGCTGTTACCGAACAGTAACTGCAGTGAATAATAATAACTCAATTTTATTTTTTTCTATTACTGTTAAACTTGATCAGCTGTCTCTAAAGCACTTTGAGCCGACACTGATATGAAATGTGCTCTGTAAAAAAAGTTATCATTATTACTGGCCCTGGATTTTGGAAATTGGATTTATTGTTTTATTTATCACTTTAGTGTAACTTCCACTGATTTGATGTTTTGTGTGAATGCAGCCGTATCCTTGCAGACGTTTTCTTCTCTGACCAAACACCTCCATGGATCAGGACTATGAGCGCCGACTACTGCGGCAAATCAACATCCAGAATGACAATGCCAGCCCTGTCGTGAGTGCCTCCGCACCCTCAAATATATTTAGGCTTAGAAGTCATGAGTATCACATTTCTGAAAGCGTTACCATTACAGTGGAGTTTGTTCTCTGGAGCTTTTTTAAACATGCACATCATGAGCTTTTGTGTAATGGCTGTTTCTCTCTTTATATTTCAAAATATCTAATTTACAGAAAGTCACAGATGTGATACGTCACCTGACTCCCACCAAATCCCCAATGTCTTCACCCAGCAAGCATGGGGACCGCTTTATACCATCACGTGCAGGAGCCAACTGGAGTATTAACTTCCACAGAATTAATGTGAGTGTTTATTAAGTCATACCGACTGAGTGTAAAGTTGCTATACGTCTTCTTCATGGGATCTAGACAGTCAAGGACTTTAATCGCTCCTTTGAGGATGTGATTAAATCTGTGGCCTGGATGCTTTGTGTGTAACCCTAATCTTCAGGGTGTAGAGTATTGATTTTTACTGTGCTTTGCTCAGGAAAATGAGAAGTCACCAAGCCAGAATAAGAAAACCAAGGATGCAACATCAGACACTGGAAAAGGTGAGTTTAAATGCTTGCCTCTTGGTGATATTTGCTAAAGTCTGTTAGAGTTTATTACTAAAGGCATAACTTAAATTGGAATCAGTGAGTCTGGTCTTTTCTTGCCAGTGGATGGTTTGGCATACTCTGCACTGCTGAAGAATGAGCTGCTCGGAGCTGGCATCGAGAAAGTTCAGGACCCTCAGACGGAAGACAGGAGGCTCCAGCCCTCAACGCCAGAGAAGAGAAGTCTCTTTAGTGTGAGCCTCATTAAAGCTCTAGTGCACAGTTATTATGAAACTTTTAGAGCAGAGCTTGAACAGTCCTGCAGGGTCCAGAGTCCAACATACACTTTCAGCCCCGACACACCTACTTAAACAGTTTTCCTCACTTGCCTGAAATAAGAGTTTGCATGAACATTGTTACTCTGAAAATGTACTGTTCACTCCTCACTTTATATATTATCGTTGTCAAAAACATGCATCTTCTAAACGGTGACTTTAAAGGAAAAAGCAAAAATCAACTTGTAGTGAAAGTTAATGTGATGTTTCTATTGGTCCAGTTGTCCTGCAGTATATTCATCATATAAAGTAAAGGGTAGCTTCTGTGTTTAAATGTTTAAATGATGTAGAAAAATGAAAACAAAGAGGATATTGTTTCTTGACAATATGGCAATTAAGTTGCAGAAACTGGTAAATAGTTATGTAGAAAATGAATTATTATTCAGAATTCTCCTGTTTTTGTATGCTGCTACTAATGGTGTAATAACTGGAGATACCACACACCATGTTAATTTAAATCTCTTGTCTCTTTTGTAGTATTCTCTCAGTACCAAAAGATCCATGCCTGATGATGGCAACAACGTTTCTCCTTACTCATTATCCCCTGTAAGCAGCAAAAGGTAAACGGCAAATGTATTTCCTTATAATAGCACTGAGAAGAACACAGAAAGGCATAAATGAGTAAAAGTGCTTTTTGTTCAAATGTCTTTGCCTTTTGTTTGTCCTTCTAGTCAGAAGTTGCTCCGCTCACCAAGGAAACCCACTCGCAAAATCTCCAAAATACCTTTTAAAGTGCTTGACGCACCTGAACTACAAGATGATTTCTACCTCAACCTGGTGGACTGGTCGTCCTTAAACGTTCTCAGTGTTGGACTGGGCACCTGTGTCTACCTGTGGAGCGCCTGCACAAGCCAAGTACGCATTGCTTGCATATCATGTGTGCCATGTTAGAGGGGACTTCCCTCCAAAACTAAAAAAAATACCTTAAGTCTTTTTGAATTGCTGCACACGCTTCATTGTAGGAATTGTAGGAACATTGTAAGAAGGCTTGTTTCTTGGTTTCTTGGTGCCTCAAATGTAGTATAGACATAAAAAATAATTGATTCATCTGACTGTTTTTAAACTAGAATTGAAAAGTCAATTTAGTTCATTTTCTCATTGTACCATTGGCAGACAACCAAAAGAAAAAACTAGCTTGCATGTGTTGGTTCTAGCAGCCCTGTGTTTGCTCTGTGTGCAGGTAACGCGCCTGTGTGACCTGTCAGTAGAGGGAGACTCTGTAACGTCGGTTGGCTGGTCAGAAAGGGTAAGTAATGACATTATAACACAAAAAGCAGCAGTTTACATGAATTTTTAACTTCACTACGACCGTAGATGTCTAACAGTGAATCACTTGAATTTGTTTATTTTTCTCCTCTAGGGGAATCTCGTGGCAGTGGGCACACATAAAGGATTTGTACAGATTTGGGATGCAGCAGCTGGCAAGAAACTATTTGCATTAGAAGGACATACAGCCAGAGTTGGTAAGATATTTTGGAAGTAGCAAAGCTCCACTGAGTCTAACGTACTCATTTGGTTGCCAAAGAAGGATTGATCCTGAATACTTATCTTTTATCACTTATTCTTCTCCCATGGACTTTCCTCCCACCCCCAGGCGCATTAGCGTGGAATGCAGACCAGTTGTCCTCAGGAAGCCGGGATCGTATGATCCTGCAGAGGGACATTCGGACGCCACCGCTGCAGTCAGAGCGCAGGCTGCAGGGCCACAGGCAGGAGGTGTGCGGCCTCAAATGGAGCACAGACCATCAGCTGCTTGCTTCCGGAGGAAACGACAACAAGGTAACAAATCAAATCAAATCAAACGGGCTAGAGTTTTGGTTGGGTTGGCTATTTCATTCTTGTCAACACCATCTGTACTGCTTTGTGATTGAACGCACTTCTGAATTTTAAGCTTTATCATTTTATTTTAGACTAAAATAAACTTCAGTTACAGTGTTGATGGATGTAACAAGTTAGACTGTAGTTCTATAAGGTACTTAGTACATAAGTAGTTTTTTGAGCTGCCAGTTTTTGTACATCTACTCAAGTACTCGTCATTATTTCACAGTATTAGTACTTTTTCTCAAGAATGGGTTCAGGCTACTCCACTTACCTCTAGTCATATATATATATATATATATATATATATATATATATATATATATATATATATATATATATATATATAATAATCTGTGAGATAGCTGTTTTTAAAATAGACAAAGTTGCTAAACAGATTATGTAATACAGTGGTTATTATTGAGCACCATGAAAAAGCCGTGTCTGAATGTTCTCTCGTTGTGTTCCTTTGGCATGTCAGCTGTTGGTGTGGAATCACTCCAGTGTCCAGCCTGTTCAGCAGTACACGGAGCACCTGGCCGCAGTGAAGGCCATCGCTTGGTCCCCCCACCAGCACGGCCTGCTGGCATCCGGAGGAGGTACAGCTGACCGCTGTATACGCTTCTGGAACACGCTCACAGCCCAGCCGCTGCAGTGTATTGACACCGGCTCACAGGTGTGCAACCTGGCCTGGTCTAAACACACCAACGAGCTGGTAAGTGTGCATGAATACACAAGCATCCTCCAACCAAATGAATTTCTTAATTTTCTTTAGTAGGGATGTATCAGCATGATTTTTGATTCTGAGGTCAAAATTTAAATGTATTTCCAATATTTTATGTGTTAAAATGTGTTTATTCTACAGACCTCTAATTACATACCACATAAATCGTTCAGGCTCGGATCGGGTTGGCTGCGACAGCCCTTTAGAAAAGTAAACCTCAAAAATAACAACCTGTAGAGTTTAGAGAATTCAGAATAAGCCCAAACATTGCTGTATAAGCAATAGCTTTAAATTTCAGTAGACTGTTTGAGAATTTAATTTTATTAATGCTCTTAATGCAGCAGACTGGGATTAGATCCCTATCCAGAGCACCAAGAACACCAGTCTATATAAATATACTTAGGCAAAACAATTAACATTCACCTGTCTCTGTAACATCATTTAAATCGTTAGTTGCTCTGCCAAATGCCAAAAAAAATGTAAATGTATACGTTTGTGAGGGTAACCTTTCCTGACCAGTCGGATCTGTGTTTTATCTCCAGGTTAGCACACATGGTTACTCTCAGAACCAGATCCTAGTGTGGAAGTACCCATCCCTCACTCAGATAGCCAAACTGACTGGCCACTCATACAGAGTGCTGTACCTGGTGAGTATCTCTTAATTTTTCCACTTTAACAAATCTCAAGTTTCACTTTATTTTTAAAATGTATATTATATTCAAAGCCTGGTTCTAGATTTTCCAATTTGCAGTTTTACTTCAGTGCTTTCTCTGCTCCAGCACACCTGATTAAGCTCCTGAAGAGGCGGATATCTAAAGCACCTTTCACCCATGATCATTTATGCAGAAATTTAATGGTAACTTAACAGGATGGGGTTAAGTGTGGAAGCTAGCTGTGGAACATTTCTGCACCAATTTTGTTTTTACAGTCTTTTTAGTTTCCTTTGGTGAATGAAAACGTTAAGGGAGTGTTTTTGTGAAAAAAGGGTTAATTTTTTTATTATTAATGTAATGAATATTAAATATGGTAGTATAGTATATTCAAGGCTTAGTATTGCAGTTAAAACTAACTTGTCTTTTTATGCAGTTTTTAACCTTGGACAGTTCAGTCCACGCTGTTAAAAGGTTGTGAACTGGGACGTTAGTGCACAAAGCTGATGTTGACACCCTGCAGTCAATTGATTATGCAAATTACATTGACATTAAATGGGAGCTTTTATCTGTAGTGCGAGTCGAGCCACCCTTTTAGAATTCGCTGTAAATGTACGTTTCCTGCTATTACAGGCGATGTCGCCAGACGGCGAGGCCATTGTGACCGGAGCGGGTGATGAAACACTGCGTTTCTGGAATGTATTTAGTAAAACGCGATCCACAAAGGTAAGGCCCTGATGATTCACATAGAAATTAAGTCAGCAGGTGTTTAAAGAGTTTGATGATTAACCTTTTCCCTGTTTTTCTCTTTCAGGAATCAGTGTCTGTTTTAAATCTGTTCACTAGGATACGGTAAAAGCCATTGCTGCTCAAAAGGAGTTCATCGTGACATCCTTATGTCTGCTTCTTACGGACTGCTCATGGACAAAGCTTTGTTTTTTCTCCTATGGTGGACAATGCAATCTGAGAGGACACCTTAAAATTTTCTTTGTAAAACTTCGGACTTCTGCACTGCTGCGCTGCAATTGCCATCTGCATTTGTGTTGTCGTCGTTGTGTTTAGTTTTATGTTTATGTACAGTTTAGTTCATGTTTTTTTGTTACCATGAAGTGTCTCTAATGATCCAAGTAATTATAATGTAAGCCTTAAGTCAGAAGATACTGTAACCATGTGATCTAAGCAGGGTGTAAAGAAATGATTCTAAACATTACTTAAAGCATCTACAGAGTTAGCTAATTTGTTAGTACAAAAACAGGACCATTTATTGGGATTGAATAAGACCATCTTTAAAAAGTATATTTAAAAAAAAATCATGACTATGGCAGAAAATGTCAGTCAAAGGATGCCATTTTTACAGAGTTACTGAAAATTGTATCAAGAAATACAAGCCACCCTGAAAAAGAAATACTGGTTGTTGTTAGTTTTGTTGGATGAGTTCTTGCCTACTGCTAATCAGGTTTTACAGACTGTAGAACATGTTTAATGTAGTATAAAAACAAATGTTTCCTAATCGGAGAGAGACAGAGCATAATCACGTATGAGGAAATGAAGAATAACTCGTAGTGTACATTTCAAAAACCAAGTTTAAAGTCTTTTTGTAGCCAGTTTCCATCTCTGCAGCCACTGCTGGAAGGTCAGTCCTTCCCACTTCTTCTCCGGCAGAGCAAACTGGCCAGGCTGCTCCCACCTGTACAGAAGCATGTAAAGATATTAGTGATAAAACAGACAGAAATGCAGCTTATAATGGATGTAAGCTAGCAGTCCTGCCTTGCCAGCACAACTCAACCTTCATTGCATGTGACAGTTTCAATTTCACTGCTGAGAACCTCCTCCGAGAAAGCCTCGACTTATCGCACTGCCCATCTGTCCATCATTACAGATATTTTACAGAACTCCATCAAACCTCCCAAGGAACTGAGATAAAACTGGTAGAGTTTGATGAGCCAGCTGAAGCACTCCTTTAAGGGCCCAGACCACCGAAACGTTTGATGAAGTATAAAAGCACTAAAAGCTTCAACAGCTCTTATTCACTCCCCTATGAAACTGCCTATTCACGTTGAAGGTAGGAGGAGTGGTCCCACATGGGCTTCTTTCTGAAAACAGGCCAGCCTATTAGAACAGAGGTCATTCATATACTTGTATTATCAGTCTTAAAGGCATACTAACAAAATCTAAATCATGGGATTTAACAAAATACTCTGATTAATTGTAGGCACAGGTCTCTACTGTCTGGACATTTTTGTTCCTACCAGCGTTTTCCAACGTGCCAATTTTTTTTAAATGTGCCAAAAAAAAGTCGTAAACGAAGCTGATTAGTTGTGGCTGATATGTCCAAAATATCACGATACTTTAAGACATTTTTTATGATGCATCATATGCATCAATATTTAGTTCTTCTGAGATTCAACAAGTTAGAACAGACAAAACAGAACCTGTAGTGCCACATATAAAAATACTATAATAATAATAAACCTACAGCTACAACGATTTTTATTCAATGTTTTACAGACTGCACTAAATCTGCATTAACAGACCTAATTAGGCTCACTTTGTAATGAAACGTGGTCAGTCAGGGTCTTTAAGTACAGATGATATCCACGATATGCTCAGAAAAGCATATTGTGACAATTTATCACAATGACTATCATATCATCATGCCCACCCTTAACTATGATATATTATAGATTATTTTTTAGATTCTCTTGTCAGAAGCTGGACTATGTACACACTCACAAGCAACATGAATTATACATAATTCTGTACATATTACCACAAACGTAAGTGAACCATGGGAAAAATAAAATACAAGAAAAATGTAGGGTATGGGCCCTTTAGCTACTGGAAAGACTATTTAGCAGACAAAAGCGTGTAGAGACAACTTAGTATCTACACTTCTACAAAAAAAAACTTCAATTAGTGAATTCAATCAGTTAATTAATGAGCCAATGTCTTGCAACATAAACTGAAACTAAACTTAATTCCAAACATATTTAATGAAAGAAATTGTTTAATTTGTTTAATAAATAAGGCAACTGGCAAGCCACTTCTAATCATAATTAACCACATCACTTTCACCATGTGCCTTTCAAAAGTGAAAACAGACTAAGCACCAGTAAAAAATATTTATATAGAAGAAGAAAAAAAACTCACCAGTGTGCAATGGCGGTATTGACTTGGTTCCCGTAGGCGAGACCTTTAGAGCACCGCTGTGTGAGCTCCTGTACACGAGGCAGTAGAGACTGCAACACCTCCGCATCCTCTGCTTTCACACGCTGCAGTAGGGCTGTCTCACGCAGAAACACACAGACGAGATGGAGGGAAAAAACATGCTGATGTTAGATTTGCCGTCTGTGGAGAGAAATTGCCTGCACAGCAGGAGGCTTTTGGCTTTGATTCAGAGTGATTTAAAGACTGTGTGAATTCAGCTGTGCAGCAGAGGCTTCTGGCTGCCATTCAGAACGTATTCAAACAGGTGCAATTCATAACCGTACAGTCTCTTTAAGGGAATACTCCAGCAGTTTTCCACTGAAAAAAGGTTAAAATGTTCACAAAGTCGCTGTACAAAGAAAAACATGCATCTCCATTTTTGTCAATTTTTATTTTTCCACATCATTTTAACACCCCAGTTTCTTGATGAATGAAATGCTCTAAATTAGCTTGGAATAAAATCTCTTTACATTAACTTACATTGAAAGGTAAGTGTTTTTGCCTTCTCCTGAAAAGTTACTACTTGAGATACATGTTTTTCTTTGGACAGCGACTAATATTATTGTGTTCAAAAATTTTGCATACAGCTCTATTAGAGTGAAAAATGCTGGAGTACTTTTGTTGAATGTTTTCTCTAATTTCACTTGACGTCTCATAAAAGTGCATCAAGCAAGCGTGTAGCCTAAATCCAGAGCCTGTACGTTACCCTGCTGGCTGGGTGCGGGAAGCTGCGCTGTCCGTCTCTGCGTGTCTGCTAGAGAGTCTGAGTGCAGCTGCATAAGTCGACGAAGGAATCGCAGCTCCAGCCTCTGAGACACTGTCTGAGAGTACAGCTCCTCTGGAGCCTAGAGCACAGAGAAAGAGAAGTCATTTTATTTTACACATAGAGTTACCTTTACCGTTTACTTTAGGAGGTTTGATCAACCCCTTATTATTAATTGACCCACCGAGGAGTCCACTAATATTAACTGACCCACTGAGGAGTCCACTCTTTACTCCTATACTATGGAAATAAATCAATCATTTTGCATTATTTTCAAAGAGAAGTGGGGGAAATTAATGTAAAGAGGCATTTCCCAAACTGCTGCTTTATGTTTAACATTACAGCCCCACACTAAACCTCTTTTGACCAATTTGTACATCGTGAGGCATTTTGTTTACAGAAATCTGGATTTGTTCTCTTTTACCCGATAGAAAACTTTTTATAGAACTATTAGAACTTAACTTGCAACACAGCTCGCATAACTACACTTGAGCAGATGCCTTGTGCTGTGGGGACGGTGGTGCGTGGTGAATGGAGACATGCACACAAGAACGTCTATTGCACATGTGCGACCGTGATCTTAACTGTACTTGTAGTATTACAGGATTAATTTCTCCCAGCACATGCGACAATACTGTCACATTGTACAGCCCTGCCACTGTAATGATGGGTTGAAGACAATTCCAGTTATACAGTTTCAATTAGATATTTAGCTTCCTAGTAATAACACTAGCAATCTGATTTCCTTCTGCATTTATCAGCTAATGAGAAGAAAAAAAAAATAAAAAATCAAAACAGCCCATCTCCAAAAACCTACTACTTGTTTACTACAGATGCAGCAGTGGTTTTTCACTTTTTTTTTTTTAAAAAAGATATTTTCATTCTGTGTCCCTTTCATGGGTAAGAATTAAAGGAGTTAATATGGGTAGGATGGAAAAATCATTCAAGACTGTGAAGGAACTTTTGTGAACAAACTGTCACTACTGCACAATTTCAATACTGAAATACAGACTGCATGTGTGAATGTGAGGCTCACCATGTACATCGGTGTGGAAAGGCTGCAGCGGATTGTATGGAGGGCTGGTGAGTTCACACGATAGAGAGAGAGCTGGTCCACTGGTATTCTCTCACTACAACATACAAAAGAATGTAAATCTGTGACAATTTTTGTATTTGGACAGACATAATGCACTACACATAAAACTGCCACCGAAAACACAAACAAAAAAACCCCCCACAAATTTCCAGATGCACTAAATCTTACTAAACAAGATATGCACAGAGAAAGCATGTTGTTTATCACAATAACAAAGAATTTCACAATAATAATAAAATAGTCATATTGCCCACCTCTATTTTCAATGGTTCACTGAGTTGTCAGGATTTTATATATAATCATTGTATTTACAAAAGAAGACTTCAAGAAATTTTTGCTTTTAAGGGAAAAGTGTAGGCGGACAATATAATCACTAAGATGCATCAGTATATTCAGTGCCTGCTGTTTGGTATTCACCCGTCTACAACTCTGCGATCCAAAGCAGCGAGGGACACCAAATTGAACTGCTTGGCCTCCTGGGAAACGGAATTACGGAGTCCAACAGCAGCGCGAACCACATCCCCAAACTGTGGGCTGAGCTTCTCCTGCACAAACTGCCTTAACTGGAGAAAAAAAGCAGACAACATAGCTGCTAGTAAACTAAGGTGCATCTCATAATTAGAATGCTCCTGCTCTGAATTAGAAAACAACAAACAAAACTTCTCCAGAAACATTACTTTTAAGGTCAGCTGCATTATGTGGGATCTTTCTGTTAAACCGGAGAGTCACGACACAGGATAAAGTATGGTGAGTGTGTACTGCTCTGTGCAAGTCGCCCTGTAAAGCCTGAAATGATTATTTAAAAGTCAGAGGCGTTGGGTCGGGAGTTTTTTTTCATACGTGTTTACATATTAACGTCACACACAGGGGCTCAGAAAGAAGGTCTGGCTCAATGTTTAGGCCTCAAATGGAACATCCACATTATACTGATGAAGATATGATGACAATAGTACATTATTCAATTACACGTTTTAATCAGAGAGATCTCCAAACCCTTACAGTGTAGTTCCCTGAGGGATTTTGGATAATTTCTATTGTTCTATTTTGTTGTAAATGTGAAGAGCAGCTAGTGTTTTTAAATGGTGTAGAGAAAATAAAACCAGAGTAACAAAATTTTGATTTGACTGCAAGGATAAGCTGATCCTAGTAAAATACTACAATATTTTTTATCATCAATCTTTTACTTAGTAAAAGCTGAATTTAACAATGCCCATAAACAGATGTAATTAAAACTTACGTATGTGATCAACATTCTCTCCAAGAGCTCATATGAAAAGGAAGCACTGCTGTTAACTTTGCACAAATGCAAAACTCAGAGAACAGTGAATACAGCATATTATCCTGCAAATATGGACAGAAAACGAACAAAGGCTTTCATACCTCAGAATGGACATGGGAGAGCTCAGTCTTTATAGTGGAGTTCCCTTTGATCAGGCTCCTTATTTGTTCTTGTCTAATATCCTGCACAACACAACAGAAGAAAACACAGACACACCAACAGACCCTTTTTAGACAGACTTCACAGTAACACTTACTATGTGGACACACATCAGCATCACAGAGGGGGTTTCAGTGGGTATGACGTTATAAATATTACACCACAGTATGCTTTAATGAGTATATCCTGGATATTGTCAATGCTTAAAAAACACTGACCAACTGCATATTTAACTATATATACACACATATATTAGTAAACCAAATTGGCAGAATGCTACATAAAAATCATTATACATATATATATATATATATATATATATATATATATATATATATATATATATATATATATATATATATATATATATATATGACACACACACACACACACACACACACACACACACACACACAAACACACACACCCCTTTATAATAAATGCTCCAGAAAAGCACAGACGTGCAACTTCACATCAAATCACCAACACAGTTAACTGGGAAAGGTCAGAATTTTCAAATACTGAACAAATCATCAAAGTTTAGAAAAAGAAGTTTTCGCCTGTCTCTAACATTATATATTCTTATAAAAGCCATAAGATGTCTGAACGCTCTTCTCCACTGGAGAGAAGTAAAGAGCCTACTGCTTACGTTTTGGTCAGAGTTTCGTACGTGTTTAGTCCGAGGAAGGAAGCATAGAAATTCTACTACAGCTAAATCTACCACATACCAGACAAGAGTCTCAAAGCCACAGCAGACAAAATCCTTAATTTTTCCCTAAACTGGGAATCTCACCCCGTTCTACAACGTGTGTTCTACCATGTTCTTTACCAGCTATCCAACTGCTGTATACTAGCTGTCAAACTATCACCTGGCAGAAGCCTTCAGGTCAACAGAACAGGAAAAAAAAAAAAAATCAGTGCTGTTTTAGAAAGAAAACGGCATTCATTAGTCTACCATTGGGCATAACACACATTATAAATATAGATAACTAATTAATGGAATATCTTAACCTGGGCATTCTTGTAACAGTGTTATCAGCCATATAATATACCGCAGTACTGCTAGGGGGCGAAATAGAACGCACTCACATGTCGCAATATCATATAGTGGCTATAATATCGAATATCATCATACCGAGAGGTCTGCACTGATTTCCTCCACTATCCTATAGACGGTCACTGCAACATACCACAAGCTGTCTGAAGTCCATGATGCTTTGCCACTGTGCTTGGAGGCTCCGCAGGGCCTCGTGTCTCTCTTGGTTTTGCAGCTGCAGCTGAGCACACTGCTCCCTCACACTGTCTCTCACTGCAGCCTGTCTCGCCGTCTGCACCTCCAGCTCAAACACGTTCCTGAGACAGACAGCAGAACAAAGCAAGGACAACTGTCACAAATAGAAATCCATGTTTCTACAGATGAGCCAGAATCCACATATTATTTACAATAATGATGGCAAAGCTAGAGGACAAACGGGGCTGTCAGTTATCAATCAAACTCAAACTTCAAAATCAATTGTACCTTCTTGATAAATCATCAGTGATTATTTGACATTTTGCACAATAATGCATTTTTTTTTAAAAAATCTCCTACTACTTTCTCTTACAGTAAATAAGCCTGGCATGGACACAGAATTTTGTTTGCATTTTTTGTCACATAGTCTTTTTAAAGGCTTCCTAGCTCATCTTGTTTCGAGTATTTTGGAATTTCATAGACTACAAGTAAGTAAATAAGTAAACCGTATTTATGCAGCACTTTGCTAAGCCAAAGCCAAAAAGTGTTTCACAATAAAATATTACAACAAAACAGAAAGGAAAAAACATAAAATAAAGCATGTTAAGATTAGCTAAATTAAACAGAAACAATAAAAAAAAAACACAACAAAAATACACAGTTAAGCAGACTACTTATGATCGCAATTTATGAAAGCTAAAGAATAAAAATGGGTTTAGCATAATCTCCTAAAAGTGGTCATGGAATCAGAGAGTCTAATATCAAGGCGAAGACAGTTCCAAAGTTTATGGGTAAAGAGGCAAATGTACTTCGGTTTAGTTCTTGGAACAGCTAAAAGCCCTCGACTAGAGGACCTTAAAGACCTGACTTGTATGGGGGCTAACAAATAAATATATTGAGAGGCTTTACCATGTAAATCCTGAAAAGTTAGCACCAGTAATTTGAAATCAACTCTAAATTTCACTGGCACTCATTGGGGAGAGGCCCGGAAAGGGCTAATGTGATCCTGACATCTAGTCTTTGCAAGAACATGAGCAGCAGTATTTTGGACAAATTGAAGTGGAGCCAGAGCTCCTTTACTAAGGGAAGTAAACAAGGCGCTATAGTAGTTGAAGCGAGACAACAGAAATGCATGTGTAGACCAGTTTTATTCACAATAGAACCTGGAACACATATCAGATGTTTAAAGTGAGAAATTTTACCATTTCATGAAAAACATTAACTCATTTAGAACTTGATGGCAGCAACGCATCTCAAAAAAGTTGGGACAGGGCCGTGTCTACAATTGTATAGCATCCCCTCTTCTTTCAACAACAGTCTGTAAACGTCTGGGAAGTGAGGAGACCAATTGCTGAAGTTTGGTAGAGGATTGTTGTCCATTCTTGTCTGATGTAGGATTCTAGCTGCTCAACAGTTCTGGGTCTTCTTTTGCTGTATTTTACGTTTCATTATGCACCAAATGTTTTCTATTGGTGAAAGGTCTGGATTGTAAGCAGGCCAGTTCAGCACATGGACTCTTCTTCTGCAAAGCCATGCTGTTGTGATGGATGCAATATGTGGTTTGGCATTGTCTTGCTGAAATATGCAAGACCTTCCCTGTAAGAGACGCTGTCTGGATGGGAGCATATGTTGGTCAAAAACCTCTGTATACTGTTCAGCATTGATAGTGCCTTTTCAAATGTGTAAGCTGCCCACGCCATAGGTACTAATGCAACCCCAAACCATCAGAGATGCAGGCTTTTGAACTGTGCACTGATAACAAGCTGGATGGTCCCTCTCCTCTTGAGTCCGCAGGACACGGCATCCGTGGTTTCCAGAAAGAATGTCAAATTTTGATTCATCTGACCACAGAACAGTTTTCCATTTCGCCTCAGTCCATTTTAAATGAGCTCTGGCCCAGAGAAGACGGCGGTGTTTCTGGATCGTGTTGCCATATGGCTTCTTTGCATGATACAGCTTTAACTTGCAATACTGACTGTCAGCCTTGTCCCTTGCGTAGAGGGATTTCTCCAGATTCTCTGAATCTTCTGATGATATTATGTACTGTAGATTGTGGGACATCTAAAGGTTGGTTTACATCTTTTACATTGAGGAACATTTGTCTGAAATTGTTCCACAATTTTTAGACACAGTTTGGGTCGCTGCCTCTCTAAAATGCTCTTTTTATACCCAGTCATGTGAGTTAGATGCAAATTGCTCCTTCAGCTGTTTTTTTATTAGTACCACTTACTTTTCCAGCCTTTTGTAGCCCGTCCCAGCTTTTTCGATGCGTTGCTACCAAAAAGGAGTTAATGTTGTCATAATGTTGTCATGAAATGGTAAAATGTCTCACTTTCATTTTACACAGCGTCCAAACTTACAGAATGTCCTTTTTCGACTTTTTCCTTACCGTATTGAAATGGACACACCTTAAAGGCTTAGATGAGGAGACTGAACTGACCTGGCGATGGGGTCAGCGTCATCGTCCTGTCCGAGAATTCTTAGCTTTGCCTGCTTCATGAGAGCAGTGAGATCAATGTGCAGCTGCCGAGCTCTGCTGCGTACTTCTGCCAGATGCATATAGCACTGCTCCACGTCCTCCCACGCAGACTGAACACACAAAAACAATACATACGTGTCACACATTCAATGATGCCAAACATACCAAAGAGAAAAACCAACACAATTAGGAGAACTGTTAAAAAATTACTTGAAATTTAAATTATTTTTTATTATTGATCTTTCTAGTATCTTTACACAAACAGCGATATAAGCTGTGGCGCGGCGCAATGAACTGTAGTTAAACCTGCTATTGTATTATTTCCCAACGCAACATGAATCAAGAAAAGCCCCGATTCAGCAGTGTAGAGTCCTATTCACCTTGTTCACCTGAGACAATGGCCACAGAAATTGTGCCATGTGACCTCAAGCACACTGTGATGTGTTCATATGTGCCCAGTTTCCTCCCTTTCAGTTTTTTTTTTTAAAAGCTATGTGAGTGCGAATAGCTTCCCCTTGAGGCAAATCTTTGACCTGCTAAAGCTGAGAGAACTAGTGACTTGAGTTACAAGCCAGATTCATGTGGTACTTTGTATCCTTTAGTCTCTTACTAATGGGATCGATGCAGTGATCCATGGTCCTCATTCAAAAATATCCTCCCAAGTTTTTTTCTTAAATGTGTTCTTGAGAAAGGTGCTAAGAAAAACTCAACATCAAATTAATGATGTGTTCTTAAACCAAAGAACTGTTTGCACCTCTGTGCTCGAGTGTGTGTAGATTCTGTTTTTACCTAAGAACAAATGCCACTTAAGAAAAAAACATGGTGAAATGTTAATTTTTGTGAAAATAACGGGTTTTCAGAAGAAAGGTTGGTAAATCAGGCCCAATGTTTTATACCACATGTCTTCTCTGCTATTTTTTTTACTTTTTTTTTTTACATTTCCAATTTTTATGACTGTGGTTCTGTTTTATGTTCATTTTATTTCTTTGTCTAATCTGCATGTAAAGCATCATGAAATTTTGGACTGAAAGTGAAAGATGCCATGTAAAAAACAACTTACCATTATGCTTATCATTACTATTATTTAAATTTATTTGTTTATTTTTAACTTTATTGCCATTAACAAACATTGACTGGCAATTAACATATAACAAATTCACCTTGAGACTGGGGCTTCACTTAACATACATGTTGCAGGGACAGAACATGAACACATGCATATCCACACATTCTATACCTCTATACTCACTACTATTTAAATTTAGTTATAATTTGTATCTATTTTCGTAAAAGCTATTTGTATTTGATATCTAAATTGCTAGTATGCACCTGTAAGAGACAGCGGACCGGTGGCAAATCCTCCTCCTCTTCCATCGACACATCAAGCAGGTGATTACTCTCATATCGAAACCTAGAGGAGGTGGACATTTCAGAACATAAAAAAATGGGAGACAGTGGCTCTCGGGGTGTTAGACATTAAGGTGTAAGTTAAATGTAATACATTTTAGGATGTCATCGATGACACTTCTAATGTAATTTAAGACCACATTTGCAGTGACAACAAACCAATTATATAAAAACATATAAAAAAAAAAAAATGACATTTGATCATAAAATCTAAGACCACATACATCTCAGACAATTTAACACTTAATGTCTCTAATCTGTACAATTTTCAACAAGCTGAGACTGAAGATCCCACAAACTGGTTTACCCAAGAGCAGACACATCACGTTCCACATCCAAAGTAGCAGTCTTCTCCTCCAGGGCCGCCTGCTGTTTGGAGGCCAGAGTCTGCAGGGCTAAAAGCACTTGATTTGGAGGGTGAGAGCGCAGCAAACCCTTAAAAAAATAAAAATAAAAAAAATAAAGCAACAGGTTTTAACTAGAGCTGAGTATTGTTACAGTTGTGCGCAAACTTTGGGTGCCTCGGTCAAATGATGTTGATTCTCTAAGCAAAGCTGACATAATATATATATATATATATATATATATATATATATATATATATATATATATATATATATATATATTTTATTTAATTTGACATGTTAGAAAAAATATATAAAATACAATAAATTGTGGCCTGTGCAAAACACATGGTACATTTTATATTTAATTTTTTCCTCCTACGTTAAAATGAGCAAATAAATAGAAATTGTGCATTCAAATTTGCAGAAAACACCATATTTAAGTGTGTTCTCTGTAAAGAATGTTAACCTATTTACACTTGACTTGTGGTGGTCAAACTTCTGCATATGACTGTATACACTTTTTGATATGAAAACTAATTCAAATATCTAGACCATGATATTTTTTCTAAGCTTTATTTCACATTGTAAACTGAAAGTGGCTTAAAGCAGAAATAAGTGTGACATGCAGACAGTAATGTGCAAACAGACAGTAATTCAGAAAGCCAATCAGCAGCCTAGAGTTTGGATCAAGCAGGCTTATTGGTTCATAAATGGTGATAAGAAAATTGGGTTCTGAACAAAATTGAAAGTTTTGGGATTTAGTAGTGTTACTTTATTGTAGTGAGTATTTATTTATTTATTTATTTATTTTGGTCAACAGTTTCAAACTCCAATCACCTGGGGGTCAGGCAGTCTACTCCAAGAGTTCAGACGGAAAAAAGGTAGGGCAAGAGAGTCCCACGACATACACACTCATATAAACGCATTTTAGCCAATGTTTATTAGCAGCTCTTCTGTCACCACAAACCACAATTACTACTACTGTTACCATGATTAGTAGTAGTAGCAGAGGTAGTGGCAAAAGTAGGAGTAGTGCAAATTAATAGTGTTTAATATATAATTAAGGTTAAATTAAAATCAAGTTACATTCAAGATTCAAATTATGTGGGACTTTTATTGGTGATATCATTATCATTCCTGCTTAACGTGAGTGAAGTTAACATGAGTGAAATGTTGGCAAAGCAGTTTATTCTGCCTTATCTACTGCTGTGTCTTGAATGAATCCAGAAATGCAGATTTGACTATCAGCCAACATCAGATAAGTAGTCAAGTAAATTTTAATATTAATAATTAAAAGTTGGTTAGTCAGCCTTGCAGCGTTAGAGGAAGCATTCATGCAGCATCAGTTTTCTGTTTGAATGATTCCTTTTGTTTGCAGTTCTCTATTTTTGGTTTTAACATTGTGAGCATCAGTCTAATCTGATTTTATAGAGCTCTTATGGTGAGTTACCAGACACAGAGTGCCTGGTGGGTGAAGCAAATCTACCAGTCATATGTAAATATTTAGCCACATACAAAAATGATTTATGGTTGAATTTAATGATAAAATGTTATATGTGATGGACCGTATGAAGTTGTCCAGTACTTTGAGATCTAATTTAGCTCCATGAGTAATACAGACTTTGTCAAATGCATTGGTCATCCAGTCATGCATCTGGACAGGCAACAGGTTGAAGTTTTAACACTGTCCAGCAACAATCAATCATCTCTCACCTCAACTGCACTGAGCCAGTGCTGATAGGCTGCATTCCTCTGATCAGGAGTAAATCTGCATGGAATAAAATTGTAGCATAAACAAATATATAGGTACTGAATAAGAGAGAGAGAAGAAAAAAAAAAGTTCTGTCTGAACTGAGCTCTTCTTACTCTGAAGAGGCAGCCTTCAGCGCACTCTCCTGCAGAGACTGGAAGAAGAGAACTCTCTCGCTGCACAGCTCGCGAACATCCCGCTAAGGGTGAAAGTCAGAGGAACTCATTTCAGGACCTCATTTCATAGTGAAGCATACGGTCTTAAAACATTTACAGTTTTACTGTTAAGATGAAAATTATGGATTATACAAATGAAAAAACTAGTTGGTGTCTGGTGGCTTCCATTCACATTCAGTCACTTGCTTCTTTAAGAAACAGCGGAAAAAAAAAATGTAACAGTTCAGATGTCATAGTGGCCACGAAAGAGCAGAGCAGCGCTTACTAAAACCAGGGGCTCTGCAGCTGTGCCAGTGTTTCTGCTGTCAGACGGTCCAAACACCAGCTTCACCTCCGCTTTCCTGCAAAGAAGAAAATTTCGCTCTAGTTTAGATCTTCTAGAATTTATATAATTTTAACAGACAAAGCAGATTCCACCTCAGAGCCTTGGAGAAAATGTGAAGCGAACATTTTATCCAAGAAAAATGACATGTTAAACTGATTTGGCAATCCTGGTCTAAGTGATGATCCTATCCAGTTCCATGTTTTATTGTTCTTCTATAAGTTAACAAATCATCTAAATTTTTTAACAAATTTAGAAAACATTTTCTTGCAAATCTTGCACAATTTCTATTTGCAATATTTAATATATAGGTGGGAAAAATACACTTTAAAGTGTTTTTACTTCATTCCTGATGCTTTTTGATTTTTTTTTTTTAATGCATGGAAGACGAAACTCTCAGCTCAGATTAAACAGGACTGTACAGCGCTCGCATTAGTCATTAAAACACTATACGTATAGATAAATGTTGCTGCACTCACACATGACATTCTTCTGTCTCTACTGTTTCTTTAAAGTTTGCTGAAAGACTTCATGTATGAGGCAATAAGCCCTCTTCAGCATCTAACATTGCTCTGACTAGCTACAGTGTTAGCTTAAAGATTAGCACTAGCCTTAGCTCATCTGAAGGGGCAGCTGCTGTTTCTTAAACCTCCTCTTCATTGTACAGGGAGATTCGCTCGAAAGAGGCCCCGAATATTCTGTTGTAACTCCCGTTAGGATGAAGCAATCTGAACCAAAAAAATACACTACACACCTTGACGTCTGTGTAATCGACTGCATTACATGCGATGCTGGAAGTGATCTCCGTTTTCTGCCAGACACATTTCGATGCAGCGCTCCATGTTCCTGAGCGGATCAGCAAGCATATCGGGGGGAACAGCAGCATTTTCACGTTGGATGTTTTCCTTCAAATCTTCCACAGTGTGAGGCTTGTTCCAATAGATTTTTCCTTTGAGCATACCCCAAAGGAAGAAGTCTGGTGGTGTCAGATCCGGCGACCATGGTGGCCAAAGCCCCTTTGAAATAACCCTGTCGTCGAAGGAGGACTCAATTTCTGCCATGCCCCTTGCTGGCAATCATCCAGTAGATTCACAAACTGTTTTAAAATGTCCAGGTACACATCAGTGTTCACAGTGGTGTCAAAGAAAATGGGGCCTATGATGTGTAACCAAGACATTGCGCACCATACACCGACTTCCATATACTGAGGAGCACATTGCACATTGTTTGGCTCAGATTGCTTTGTCCTGGCGAGAGTTATTACAGAATTTTCAGGGCCTCTTTCAAGTGAATCTACCCTGTACATGAAAATCTGCTGCTTTAATGTCGAATGGCCAAACGATTTCTATAACATATCGTTGCACAGTGGTGTCTATTAGGAGGTTTTTCCACAGACTCAAAATGATGACACAAAAAAAGAGAGTACTTGGAGAGATGCTCCAAAGCTTGTCGTTGGCTGCTGATCTTCTGTGTGTCCTCTGTGAGAGAGTGTCGCTCGTCCGCACAGCGCTGCCTGAAGGAGTCCAGCATCAGCTCCCTCAGCCTGTTCTCCTCATGCTTCTCCCAGTGCCTGCCCATGTTCTTCTCTACTCAGACAGACGATATTTGATGATGTATTTATGGTACTCCAGAAGCACAGAATGTTTAGGCGGTGTTTAGCCTTCCGTGCTAACATATCTGCATTATTTAATTTTTTTTTTTTTGCATTTTTAACTCTAAAAGAAATAAATGGCATTTATCTGTAATGCTAATCCAGGTTGATTTAGTCCCAATTTCTACAATTGATGAATGTTTATGTAACAACACTGACAGACAGGTACATGAAGAATATCAGAAAACAGCGTCAGCCCCCAATTCCAATACTGGCACATGTTAATTGTGAGATTTAAAGATTTGTGAAATGCTAAGTATTGCGATATGGCATAATGAGATTTTCAGATTTATAATGTTTGACTGTAATGACTGCTTCCTGCTTCCTTGACATTCAGATGTTCTCTTCTTAGCTCTGCTATCTTTCATTTCTCTTTATTTTCAGAAGTTTACGCTGTTTTTTTCAAGCTACAGTTTGAGCTCATTATCTATATACAAAGGTCAAGACCACTACAAAGCCAAAAGCGGATGTTCTTCTTTTTGTATTTTTTATAGTACTGCTATGGACACAGGAATTAGAAAAGTTTCTGATGGCTACCAAAGTAGAAACTTACAAAATGCCTTTTCAGGTTTCAGAGCACATATGCTGTCGGAACTGTTATGGTCTTCTGCAAAAAATGACAGTTTTGGAGGCGAGTTTTTGAAACCTGTTATCAGGAGTTTAAGGAGCTTTCATATCTGGAATGGGTAGCGAATGGTAGGTTTTGAAACTTTACAACTAAAACTTACAAACTAATAGCTAATAGATATACATCAAACTCTTTTTTAAGAAGTTTAGTTTTCATGGAACTAGCAATGCATAATCAATCAATCAACCAACATTTATTTAATCTCTGAGAACATTGAGGGTGACCCTCATTTACAATGTTGTCGAATTATACATCAGAAAGGATCTACTGACTGTAATTTTTTCCTGCAAAACAAAACTTTGTTTGTCTCTCTTGAATCTTTTTACTGAAGCAAAACAGAACTGTTTTGGAAGGAAGCAAATCTACATTAAAAAAGCACACAATTTTGTATTTATTTGCTGATTTTAACATGGAAAAATTAAAACAAAGTATAAAATATGCTTAACTTTTGCACAGGTCACATTTTACGTTTTATTCTTTCCCCTAATGTGTTAAATTCAGCAAAAACACTAACATGTGTACATTAAATTGTGCTCTCTGGTGAGGATATGTTAACTTATTTTTACTTAGAAAAATCAACAAAACATAATTTGACCAAGGTCGTCTAAACTATTGCATATGACTATACATACTAACATGCTTTTACCCCAGGGTGATTTACAATGATATGTAATCTAGTGCACTATCCAACCATTCCTAAGAAAGAAACCACTGACAAAAGCATTAAAATAAATAAATAAATAAATAAATAAATACATACATAAATAAATTCATAAATAAAACCAATTCTTAGAGTAATCTTGTCTAATGAGAAATCAACGCATTTTGGTATGCTACCAGTCTATCACTGGGTTTAACACATTAAAGAACACTAATACTGATATAATAAAATATCAATACTTAGGCCTGTGTTTCAATATTATTTTTAAACTCCCAAAACTGTGACGCTATGCTGTATTAATTTTTTTCTCTGAAATAATGTGGCAGCTCCAGTGAGAGAGGAGAAGAGAGACAGAGAGCAATTAAAAGCAAATCCTCACCTTCGTTAGCAAGCTGTTCCTCTGCTGTGCTAATCTTCTGGTCTAACTGAGTGAGCTCAGCCTGCAGTACCTCTATCTCCCTCTGCAGCTCCACACGCTGAGCATCCTTATTCTGGCCCTCCACCTGCTTCAGCTGCACAAACACAACACCTACTTTGATCCTTTAAAGCAATCAAAAAACTGATTTAAGATTCATGTAGCAGCAGACAGGCAGTGTGGCAGCATGAGAATCTGTTACAAAGAGGCCAGGGCCCACACTCACACTTTCAGAGTAAGAACACTCACCTAGAATGTAGGCAAGGGGTGGAACGATGCATACGTTTTGAGTGCTAATAGGATAGGACTGCTCGACCTGTGCATGGCCCAGTATATTTATGTAAAGAAACACCCCCAAATCTATGGATGCTTTCAAGTCTAGATTAAAAACCTATTTTTACCAATTAGCTTTTGATCCTGTAAACTGATCATTGCTGTATCTTTGTTTTGTTATACATCCGATGTTGTCCTATACTGTCCTTTTAAATGTGTTCTCCTTGTACAGCACTTTGGGTTAAAAGGTGCTTTATAAATAAATATGTGGTTACTTACAAAGGGCTATATATGGTAAACAGAATCTCTTTAGAAGGCCCCAGCATCCTCCAGTTATTACCTAAGGGTTGGCGTTACTGCTGCTTAGCGCTGTTGGGTTGGCGTTACTGCTACTGAGCGCTGATTGGTTAGCATTACTGCTACTGAATGCTAATGGTTTGGCGTTACTGCTACTGAGCACCGATGGGTTGGCATTACCGTTACTGAGTGCTGATGGGTTGGAATTACTGCTACTGAGTGCTGATTGATTGGTGTTGCTGCTACTGAGTGCTGATTGGTCGTCATTACTACTCCTGATTGTTGACTGGTTAGTAAGCTGATAAGCTCACTGACTCAGTGAAGTGGTTCACGCACACTAATAACTAAGCATGCAGAAACAGATTAGGAATAGAGAAGGTGCTTCACACACACCTTTGAATACATCACAAACATCTTACTATACATATTTTTATTCAAATGTGATCTATAACTATTTCAAATAGTGAGGGAAAATATTTCCGTGTTCATGACAAATTTCCAATAAAAAAAAACTTTTAAATAATAGTTAAAACTACTTTTCTAAAAATAAATGCAGAACAGTTACACAGGATTGATAAATGAGACTCGAAATCTTAGATCCTTTTTCTGCTCTTTCTCTGAGACACAGTAAATACAGGCCCAGATATTTCCATTCAAAATGACCAAAGCCCCCCCTTACCTCTTTATCCTGTAAAATTTTGTACCTTTGAAACGAAAACATTAAGGAAAAAACACTTTGATTTGGTGTCATTATAAAAACATCTCAGAACCAAAGAGAAAAAGCAGAATATTTCCAGTTCCATGTAAAGACAAACAGACGTTAGCCAGTTAGGATAATGATGACCATCACTGTCATCAATACATACTTGTTACACAGCACGCATGACGTTGAGAACAAAAAGGATACCATTGGAGATTCCCTCGCATAACTCTCACATTCCTGCAGGAAAAAATAAAGACAAGTCTGAAACTGCAAAGGCCTTTATGAGTTTCAGGGCCCATATGCTTCATTTTTCTAGTGATGCATTCTGTTTTCTGCTTTATTCACAAAGCAATCAGGGCTGACAGTCCAAATCATAAAGCATCTGCAACAATTTAAAGGTTTTACTACTCAACTCACCTCTCATGGTAAACATGCTGTATGGCATATTTCCAAATTGAAGCTCCGGAACCAACACACAGCCTAACAAACAACCAAAAGAACGAAAATATTCATGGAAATGCCTTAAGAGGTTTTACCACACAGCAGCAACCTAATATTGTGAGTAACAGTGACTAAACCTGTCCAGAAAAGTCATCTACACACTTAAAAAAGACGGTTCTAAAAGGGTTCTTTCATAAATGGAAGGGTTCTATTTAGAGTCATGAGTTCTATAGAGAACGATCTCCATGCTTAAATTATTCTTTGTGTGGTGAAATAGTTCTTACACTGATAGAGAATGTGTTGTGTATGGTTCTATATATATACTTTTTCTGAAAATGGTTCTATACAGCACCAAAAAGGGTTTGTCTATTGTTACAAGCTGGACAATATATATTAAATAACAGATATTAGCAGAACCCTTTTTGGTGCTGTACAGAAGCGTTTTCAAAATGGTTCTACATCAAACCAGGTTCGCTAGTAAAGGCAATTGTTCTATTATATAGCACCAAAATGGTTCTCCTATTGTCACAAGCTTGACATTGTAAAACCATACACACAGAACCATACACAAGACTTTCTGCATCAATCTGAAAACCATTTCACCTTGAAAAGCATTTAATCATGAAGTGGTTCTATATAGAACTCTATAGAGAACCACTGCCTTTATGAAAGAACCTTGAGGAACCCTCTTTTTTAAGAGTACATAGAGGACTCAGAAAAGTTAGCTAATGTTACCCATCAGCGTTACTTCAGCTGGGTCACTCACGTTTTAATGTAGCTGTCGTGTGGGAGTTTGTGAGGGGGGAAGTCCAGCTCTTCAGTCGCCCAGCGCTTCACCTCCTGAAGCAAACTCCCCATTTCACCCCACAGCTGGATTGAATATGACACAGTTTATTTTCTGTAGGTGTAGATAACAAAAACGTGTCTCTGCTCTCAGAAACACCACCGAGTTTAGACTTCAATCGCTCACTGCCTGACTCTCAGGAGGCTGAATTAGCTTCTTATTGGAATTGTCTGTTCCACCTTAAACGGTGCAGCAGCTGCAGTACTTAAGGTGGAACGGACAATTCTAGCTAATGTTATTAGCAATCTGGCTAACGGAGCTAAATGCCCGTTACTTGTTGATTCCAACGCACCAAAATACACGAAACCTGCGCGGTTTGCCGTATGAAACAGTGTGACAGTAATAGCGAATCACCTGTATGAAGTTTTTAAAAGCAGAATGTTTTTCTTCAGTGAAGTTTGAAGATTTTCCTACTATCCGGTTCAAATCTCTCCCCGCTTCCCGCTGCAGCCGCACTTCCGTTTACGTAGAAACGTTTTGAGCTGTGGGTGATGACGTACACACAGAATATTAAAATACACACATTAACTTTGTCTTTGTTTTTGCTTTTGAGATATATATATATATATATACATGCATCAGTCTTTGTTAGCCCCCTTTTACCCTGTTCTTCAGTGGTCAGGACCCCCATGGACCCTCACAGAGCAGGTACTATTTAGGTGGTGGATCATTCTTTCTTTTTTTTTTTTACATTATTTTTTATTTGTGGGTCTATGCAGATACAGGATTACAGACACTTATGTGTTCCGCATTTTACATCATAACCAGAACTAAAACAATACTGGAGGAGAAAAAAAAAGAAGAAAAAAACCTTACATAAATATATATTCTCATAGTAATGAGTAGGTCAGGAAATACTTGTACCTTGTACATAATTTGACTATTAATTAGTAAAAAAAAACAGATACATACAAAATGCATACAGGGTCATATCACTGTACATATAGATATTGGGAAAGTAATTATTTAAGCTAAAGAGTAACCTCTACCTAGAAGAAGAGGGGGAGGGATGTTAATTACTTGGGAGACTTTTCAGCTTCTCAAAATATGCAATCATGGGATCCCAAGCTCTATGGAATTTTACAGAAGCCTTTCTAGATGAAAACTTCATCTTTTCTAGTTTGAGGAAAAGCATAAGATCGCAGAGCCACTGTGAGGTCTTCGGTGGATATGGAGATTTCCAATTAATCAACATCCTCCTTCTTGCCAGAAGGGATGCAAAGGCCAAGGCCTCCTTAATCCTATTTGGAATTTTTGAATCTGTGTTAATCAACCCAAATAGACATAATTCAAAACTTGGCACAATCTCTAAATTGAATACTTCTGATAAACAGTTAGTAATTGCCAACCAAAAACTTGATAAAACAAGTCCAAAACATATGCGTTAGGTCAGTTTTATCTAAATGACAACGATCACATAGCTCATCTATCCCATGTTGAATTTTTGCCAGTTTCACTTTGCAGTAATGAACCCTGTGAAGGACCTTGAACTGAATAAGGTCAATCCGTACACATGACGAAGATCTGTTAATTATGTTCACAGCTGATTTCCAAGTTTCTTCAGGTATAGTCAGACCCAACTCTTCGTTCCAAGCTGTATGAATTTTCTCTAAACGAGTATTACGTGGTGGAGCAATTTTATTATAAATTCTTGAAATTAAACCTTTATTTATCATGGGTAATTCCAGAATATCTTCTAGGAGAGTTTTTGGTGGCAGGGAAGGAAAATAAGAGCACTGATTACGCAGAAAATTCAGAATTTGAAGGTATCTGTAAAATGAAGAAGGTGTTAATTGAAACTTGACTGGTGGATCATTCTCAGCACTGTAGTAACACTGACGTGGTGGTGGTGTGTTAGTGTGTGTTGTGCTGGTCTGAGTGGATCAGACACAGCAGTGCTGCTGGAGTTTTTAAACACCTCAGTGTCACTGCTGGACTGAGAATAGTCCAACAACCAAAAATATCCAGCCAACAGTGTCCTGTGGGCAGCGTCCTGTGACCACTGATGAAGGGCTAGAGGATGACCAACACAAACTGTGCAGCAGCAGATGAGCTATCGTCTCTGACTTTACATCTACAAGGTGGACCAACAGGGTAGGAGTGTCTAATAGAATGGACAGTGAGTGGACGCAGTGTTTAAAACTCCAGCAGCACTGCTGTGTCTGATCCACTTGTACCAGCGTAACACACTTACACATCACCACCATGTCAGTGCTACTGCAGTGCTGAGAATGATCCACCACCCAAATAGTACCTGCTCTGTGAGGGTCCATGGGGGTCCTGAGTAAAAGGGGGCTAACAAAGTATGCAGAGAAACAGATGGACTAGTCTGTAATTGTAGAACTACACCTATATAGTAAGTATAGTAAGTATATATGTATACATAAATACAGAACACAATGTATTTTCCCAATTTCACACTTGAATGTTTCAGATCCTCAAACTACTATTTAATATTGCACAAAGATAAACCAAGTAAACAAAAAATGCAGTTTTTTCATTTAAGGAAAAATCAGCCCTACCTGGCCCTATGTGAGAGAAGTAATTTCCCCCTCATCTACTAAATCAACCAGTTAACTAAATTCAATTGACTACTGGGTTCAATTTCAATAGCCACCCTCAGGCGCGATTACTGCCAGACCTGCTGAATCTAAACATCACTTAAATAGAACCTGTCTGGCAACGTGAAGCTGTCAAGAAGGTCTCAACTAGCAGCACATGATGCCACATTCTAAAGAGATTCAAATACAGATGCGAATCAAAGTCACTGAAATCTACCAGTCTGGAAAGGGTTACAAAGCCATTGCTAAGGCTCTGGGACACCAGCGAACCACAGTGAGAGCCATTATCCACAAATGGAGCAAACCTGGAACAGTGGTGAACCTTCCCGGGAGTGGCTGGCCTACCAAAATTTCACCAAGAGCACATCAACAATTCATGCAGCAGGTCACAAAAGAACCCAGATGAAAATCTAAAAACTGTTGGCCTCACTTGCCTCAGTTATGGGCAATGTCCTTGATTCCACAATAAGAAAGACACTGGGCAAAAATGGCATCCATAGGAGCGCTGCAAGGCACAGAGCACTGCTGACCAAAAAGAACAAAAAGGATTGTATTGCATTTGCCAAAAAAGCATCTAGATGACCCCCAAGACTTTTGGGACAATATTCTGTGGACTAATTCTTCATACATCACAATATTTACACAGTCATACACAAAAGTTTGAATACCCCTGAACAATAACGTGTTTTCTTGATTAAACTGTGTTGCTAGGCCATTGCTACGGTATCCTGGGTGTTGCTAGACTATTGCAGTGGTATCCCAGGGAGTGGCTAATGTGTGGCAAGGATGTTGCAATGTTATCCCAGGCAGGTTCTAAGGTGTTGCTAGGCCATTACTATGGTACCCCATGTGGTTGCTATGGTGTTGCTAAGTAGTTTCTATTACATCCAAAGTGCTTGCTAAGGTGTTGCTAGGCTGTTACAATGGTTTTCCTGTGGTTGCTTTGGTGTTGCTAGGCTGTTGCTGTGGTATCCCAGCTGGAAGGGGTTGCTAGGCCATTGCACAGTGTCTCCCATCGTTGCTACGGTGTTGTTATGCAGTTTCAATGATGTCCACAGTGGTTGCTACGGTGCTGCTAGGCTGTTGCAAAGGCTTTCTTGTGGTTGCTAAGGTGTTGCTGTGTTATCCCAGATAGTTTCTAAGGTGTTGCTGTGGTATCCCAGATAGTTGCTAAGGTGTTGCTTGGCCATAGCTATAGTATCCCACATGGTTGCTGCAGTGTTGCTAAGCACTTTCTCTGATATCCAAACTGGTTACTTAGGTGCTGCTAGGCTGTTGCTATGGTTTTTCTATTATGGCTAAGGTGTTGCTAGGCTGTTCCAGTGGTATCCCAGGTGGTTGCTAATGTGTTGCTAGGCTGTTGCAATGATATCCCAGGGGGTTGCTAAGGTGTTGCTAGGCTGTTCCTGTTTTCCTTTGGCATATGACTATATGTAATGAGTCATATAAACCCCCCACCCTTAGATCTATACCTAGGCTTAACCCAGACTCATAGACATAACAGGCAGAGAACAAATTCAATGAATGTGATGTAATTTATTACTTTTTAACAAGGCATAAATACAGTAGTGTTGTCATGTAAGCCAGTTGACCTCATCCGTATTAAAACATTCAATGACACTAACTCACTCCAGCAAAGACTTCCTTGCAAATACATACGCACACACATACACATCACATTATCCACAACATACCATTATTAAATAACCCTCTCTTTTGTTCAGCCATTAACTTAATGTACACATTTTGACTGTAAAGCACTGATGTATTTTCTCACATAGTCTCAAGCAAGCGCAACACTCTAACTAACAACGTCGCACAAGGATGACAGGATATGTGAAACTTTCTGACATCAGACAAACAAGTAGCTCCATCTCATTTTGAACAGCGTCACAAGACCAGACACAGTGGATCTGCCTGGACCCTCTGTCAGCGTTCTTTACAGCAGGGTCGTAAATTCTCAATTACACACGATTGGAAGTGACGAGCACTGAAGCTGCTGTTGCTGGGGCCGTGGAAGCGTGGTGTCGCTGTGGTTACTTCTGCTCACGTCTCCAGATGATGACCATGCCCGTTGCATCAGATGAGGCCAGCAGGCTCTCGTCACAGTTGAAGCTGACGTCCAGCACAGGGCCGCTATGACCCTGCAGCTTGTTTACAATGGCCTTAGTGTTGCGCTCCACGTCGAAGAAATAGACACAAGCATCTTCACTGCCGGTCACTGAAACAGGGAAGAGTATTGACTGTAAAGCACTGTAAACTGTAGATATGACGGTAAACTGCATATCTCACTTTTTTGAATAAAAAAGTTTGACGTAGCGTCCGTACACTGTTAAAGGTCACATATACTACATTTTTTTGCATTTTATTTCTCCCCCGATGTTCATTTTTGATGTTTGTGAGATTGTATATACCAAATTAATTTGGTATCTCATTATATCTCTAATTATATTTATATATTTTTTGTTACTGTGTCTTGAAGACGAGCACTCCTCACAACATCAGTGTGAATGGGCTACAATGCAGTAGCTGAAAAGGCGCATATATGTAAACTATTTTTTCATGGCATCACAAAAACTAATTCAAAATTGGAATATATGGAAACTGCTAAAAAATTTGCAGCTTAGTTCCCAAATATGGACTTTTGAAACTTCAGCAATTTTTAATAAAACTACATCATATGCTTTTATTTATATATCATTGATAGTTTTTCAGTATGTGCCCTTTTAAGATTCAAAACTTTCTATTTACTCCCCACTTTAAAGTCCACATATGAAAACTATCCACATATGATAACACTTTTGAATTCTTTGCTGTTGTGATGTCACAAAAACAAAAGCATTTACATATATCTGCCTATTCAGCCGACCACAGTCTGGATTCACAAATTCAT